CGAGTTCCCTGGTAAGGCCCTCAACAAGGCTTTCCAAAAGTTCGTCGAGGAGAACGTGGCCAAGGGTGACGTTGCTCTTCTGAAGGCTGCATTGGAGCCTCTTGCTGATGTTATCACCCGCTACTCGGAGGGTCTCAAGGCACACGAGTACAGCGTCATGATCAAGCTCTTGGAGATGTACTGGTCTGTTGAGTCCCTCTTCTCGTCTCGTACGTCGCGTGACGAAGAAGTCATCCTCAAGCTTCGTGATGAGAACCGTGATAACATCATGAGCGTCGTGCAGACTGTTCTCTCCCACGCCAAGGTTGGTGCGAAGAACAACCTCGTAATTGCCATTCTCGAGCTCTACCGACCCAACAAACCTGGTGTCGGAAACATTGCCAAGTACTTCAAGGACACTCTCAAGAAGCTCACAGAGCTTGAGTCCAGACAGACTGCCAAGGTCTCTCTCAAGGCCCGTGAGGTCCTCATCCAGTGCGCTATGCCTTCGCTTGAAGAACGCACTGCGCAGATGGAACACATCCTGCGCTCTTCCGTCGTTGAGTCTCGCTATGGCGAGAGCGGATGGGACCACCGTGAGCCTAACTTCGAAGTCATCAAGGAAGTTGTCGACTCTAGGTACACTGTGTTCGACGTGTTGACACAATTTTTCGTCCACTCGGACCCATACGTCGCTCTTGCTGCGCTTGAGGTGTACACTCGCCGAGCTTACCGCGCGTACCAGCTGCAAAACATCAACTACCACAACGAAGGCGAGCAGCAATCTTTCTTGTCTTGGGACTTCATCCTGCGCAAGGTTGGTGAGGCCGAGTACGGTCTCGCTGTTGAGCCATCTGAACCTGGTACCCCCAGCACGCCCGGGTTTGAGCGTCCTCCTCGCATCCAGTCATTGAGCGATATGACTGCTTGGCAAAACCGATTCGAAGGCGAGCCTACCAGGAAGGGTGTTGTCGTCCCTGTCGAGTACCTTGATGACGCGGACGAGCTCATCAGTAAGGCGCTCGACATCTTCCCCAACCTTGGCAAGGAGAAGAAGGGCGGTATCGGTCTGAGGGAGGGCCTCACAATGAAGCGCACCCCTACCACAGGTATCAACGAGCCCAAGCATAGCGACGAGCTCACCGGTGTTCTTAACATTGCTGTCCGCGACATTGAAGGCACCGACGACAAGGAAATCTTGGACCGCATCTTGCCTATCGTCGATGACTTCAAGCAGGAGCTTCTGTCTCGTCGCATCCGCCGAATCTCTTTCATTTGCGGCCACAAGGACGGAACATACCCTGGCTACTACACCTTCCGTGGACCCACATATGAGGAAGATGCCAGTATCCGTCACGTCGAGCCCGCTCTTGCCTTCCAGCTCGAACTTGGCAGACTCTCCAAGTTTGACATCAAGCCAGTCTTCACTGAGAACCGCAACATCCACATCTATGAGGCTGTTGGCAAGGGCGCTGAGAGCGACAAGCGCTACTTCTTGAGGGCTGTCGTCCGATCAGGCCGTCTTCGTGAGGAGATTCCTACAGCGGAGTACATGGTGTCTGAGACTGATAGGTTGATGACTGACATCTTGGATGCTTTGGAAATCGTTGGTACTTCACAAGCCGACATGAACCACATCTTCATCAACTTCTCGCACGTCTTCCCTCTGAACCCTACTGAGGTTGAAGAGGCCATTGGCGGCTTCTTGGAGCGCTTTGGTCGACGACTCTGGCGTCTCCGTGTCACTGGCGCCGAGATCCGCATCATTGTCACCGACCCTGCGACTGGCATCCCTTACCCTCTCCGTGTCATCATCACCAACACTTCTGGATACGTTATCCAGGTGGAGATGTACGCTGAGCGCAAGTCCGAGAAGGCTGGCAAGTGGCTCTTCCACAGCATTGGTGGAACTACTAAGATTGGTGCTCTTCACCTCCAGCCCGTCTCAACTCCTTACCCCACCAAGGGGGCTCTGCAGCCCAAGAGGTACAAGGCTCATCTCATGGGTACTCAGTACGTGTATGATTTCCCTGAGCTCTTCCGCCAGGCTACCGAGAACAGCTGGATCGAGGCTATCAAGAAGCACTCATTCCTTCGGGACAGGCAGCCAGCGAAGGGAGAGTGCCTCGAGTACTACGAGTTGGTGCTTGATGACACTGACAACCTGGCTGAGGTCAACCGTGATCCTGGCCACAACAACATTGGTATGGTCGGTTGGATGGTCACCGCGAAGACACCTGAGTACCCCCGTGGTCGCCGCTTCATCATCATCGCCAACGACATCACTTTCAAGATTGGTTCATTCGGTCCAGCGGAGGATGCTTTCTTCCACAAGTGCTCTGAACTTGCACGAAAGCTCGGCATTCCGCGAATTTACCTCTCTGCCAACTCTGGTGCTCGTATCGGTCTTGCTGAGGAGCTCATTCCTCACTTCTCTGTTGCATGGAAGGACATCAACAAGCCTGAGGCTGGTTTCGACTACCTCTACCTGACACCTGAGAAGTACGAGCACTTTGTTGATGGTAAGCGCAACGACGTTATCTGCGAGCCGGTTGAGGTCGATGGCGAGAAGCGCTTCAAGATCACTACTGTCATTGGTGCTGAGGACGGTCTTGGTGTTGAGTCGCTTCGTGGTTCTGGTCTCATTGCTGGTGAGACTTCAAGGGCTTACGAGGACATCTTCACCATTACTCTGGTGACTTGTCGCTCAGTCGGTACGTATCCTTACTCCATTTCACTTGTGCAAATACTAAAACCATATAGGTATCGGTGCTTACCTTGTTCGTCTTGGTCAGCGTGCTATCCAGATCGAAGGACAGCCAATCATCCTCACTGGTGCACAGGCTATCAACAAGCTACTTGGTCGTGAAGTCTACACTTCTAACCTTCAGCTTGGTGGTACTCAGATCATGTACAGGAACGGTGTCTCGCACTCGACTGCCGACGATGACTTTGAGGGTGTTTCCAAGATTGTCCAGTGGTTGTCTTACGTACCCGACAAGAAGGGCAGCCCCGTCCCTATCTCACCATCAGCCGACAACTGGGATCGTGACATCACCTACTACCCTCCTGGCAAGTCTGCCTATGATATTAGACATTTGATCGCCGGAAAAGAGGACGAGGACGGTTTCCAGTCTGGTCTCTTTGATCGCGGTTCGTTTGTCGAGACTCTTGGTGGCTGGGCTAAGACTGTTGTTGTCGGTCGTGCTCGCCTCGGTGGCATTCCTATCGGTGTCATCGGTGTCGAGACACGTTCAGTTGAGAATGTCACACCTGCAGACCCCGCCAACCCCGACTCTATCGAACAAGTCACATCTGAGGCTGGTGGTGTTTGGTACCCCAACTCCGCCTTCAAGACTGCTCAGGCTATCAAGGACTTCAACAATGGCGAGCAACTGCCACTGATGATCCTTGCTAACTGGCGTGGTTTCTCTGGTGGTCAACGCGACATGTACAACGAGGTTCTCAAGTACGGTTCTTACATTGTCGACGCACTCGTCAAGTTTGAACAGCCCATCTTCGTTTACATTCCTCCGTACGGCGAACTTCGTGGCGGATCCTGGGTCGTCGTTGATCCCACCATCAACCCTCAATTCATGGAGATGTACGCCGACGAGGACTCGCGTGGTGGTGTACTGGAGCCCGAAGGTATCGTCGGTATCAAGTACCGCAGGGAACGCCAACTGGACACAATGGCCCGCAACGACCCTACCTACGGTGCTCTTAAGCGCAAGTTGAATGACAAAGCAACGCCAGAGGCCGAGCTCCAGGACATCAAAGCCCAGATGACTGAGCGCGAGAAGAAGCTTCTACCTATCTATGGTCAAATCGCCATCCAATTCGCCGATCTACACGACCGCGCTGGCCGTATGCAAGCCAAGGGTGTCATTCGACAAGCTCTCCGATGGCAAAACGCCCGCCGGTTCTTTTACTGGCGTCTTCGCCGCCGTCTCAATGAGGAGTACATCCTCAAGAAGTTCGCCGCTGCTGCCTCGCCCACGCACGACAACCCTCAGGCCAACTCACTCACCCGCAGCCGTGGCTTCGAGATGTTGAAGCACTTGTCCAACATTCCCAACTGGGAGCAAGACGACATGGCCGCGGCGACCTGGTACGAGGAGAACAGGCCACTCGTCAGCGACAAGATCGAGCAACTCAAGACCGATGGCATTGCGCTCGAGATTGCGCAGCTTATGCGCAAGGACCGCGAGGGTGGACTCAAGGGTGTCATGAGCTTGCTCAGCACACTGCCTACCAGCGAGAAGGAGGAGGTGATCAAGATGTTGAGCAGGGCTTAGTAAACGTATCATCAATGTTTGCGTGTTTTCATTCGCTTACGGCATGGCATGGCATTTGGGGGTGTTTCAAACTTTCTGGGAAGGAATTGGGATGGCGATATGTGTGTGGTGTAACTTTAGCGTTGCTACGGTGCGACTGCGTTTTTCGTATATTCCCCTTTTTGCTACCAGAGTATATTAGTTTAGTTGCATTGGTGAGGAATCAGGCGGGTGTTGGGAGGCACCCTTCCTGTTTTTCCTCATGATGTGTAATTGATCTTCAAGTTCAAAATCTTGCCTTCGTACGTTTGTGCTGGTGCTTTTCTCATCCCACGGCCCATATAACTTCGCTTCGTTATCATAGTCACATTCGTATGACTAGAGATCACCCACTATGTTCTTTGCTTGCTTTTTTACGGCTACGGGCTTCTTCCGTCCTTGTGTTGTTATAGCGTGGGAGCATGCGGATCGCCGACTCCACTTTCAGCTGCGGGGTTCCGCCGCGCGCGGATACGTCACCAGGCCGCAAAAACAGCCCGAGCAGAAAAATCCAAGCCAAGAAATTTTTGATGTGGATTGGAAGGCATCAGTTCTTCTCTTTCTCTTCCCCCATCCCCATCATACTATCCCACGGTTTACTATACATACGCGAACCTCCTCTGCTAAACGAGCCGAAGAAGCTCGATCAATCGTCAACACACCAATAAAACTCGAGACAAAAGAGACAGAAATAAGACAATCAAAATGGTTTACACAATCGTCGTTCACCTGCTCGCCAAGGAAGACCAAGAAAGCATTAACAAGCTGAGCGCTAAGCTTGTCGAGGCTAGCCAGGTGTACAGCAAGGACAAGGAGACATTGAGCTGGTTTGTTATGCAGGACACTGTCGATAAGAGGAAGTTCACTATCGTTGAACGGTATCTGAAGGAATCAGTGAGTTATATCATCTCCTTAGTTTTTAGCTCATTGGAGACTGGTTGCGACTGGTGACTGGTGTCGCTACGAGACTGCAAAAGAGGGGTTTCGCGTGCACTTTGATTCTGGGTATCACCAGACCTCAGATATGCTATTGAAGAAATGGCAAAGGAAAGTGGAACTTACTGATAGTCTTTGCAGTCTCAACAATACCACCTGAACAACCCATACTGGAAGACTTTCGACCCGTACGTGATTCCTTTGTTGGCCGCACCCATGGATCTGAGGCGCCTGGAAGAGTTGGACACGACTGTCACGAGCGCGGGTGCGCATTACCATGAAGACGCTGTAAAGACGGAGACCAGTGTTGGCGATATGTACAAGGGAACTGACGCTTAGACTGGAAAATACCCCTCGTCGCGTTGAGTTGAAGAAATGTAAAAAGAATCGAATTTAGCATTTGCTGCCGAACGTGACTATTGGATCGTAGGAGATGAGTGCAGCTAAGCAAAGTGAAAAGATTTTTTGAGCCTATTTACTCAGAGAGCCATTGATACACGGCTTCGCTGATGACCTCTTCACGCCATACATAACGCTATCTTTTCTTTCCGGGCCCATCTTCCATCACACAGGTTGGCATACATAGTGAGTTTCTAGCCGGACTCCGCCATGAATCGACGTAGTCATTGATACCTTGGAATGACGTCGAAGCATTCTTTGGCATCAGTGAGCAGAGTGATTGGTAGCTAGGAATTCTCAAGGAAATAGCTCTCCTTTGATGAAGCATCACTTGGCCATTCTCTTTCGAGAAGGCTCAATTAGGATTGTCGTAATACATAGCCATCCTTCCAAGGCTTTTCGATTTCGACTATGACAGGCGCTAGTCATATTCATAACTATTATATTGGTTGTTGTTCACTGAAAGAGGGAATCAGGGCTTTGGTTCGAGTGTAGTAAGTCATTGTGCCATATTGTCGATGTTGCACAACCGCGATGTAACAAGTCTGTCAAACATCGCCCTCTTATGATCCTTCCTCTCCCAAACGAATAAGATGATATGAGAGGCTACCCTCATTCTTCTGGAGCCGGAATCAGAGCGAAAATAGTTATGGAGAGATCCAGCTATGCCAGGTTTGAAGTTTTGGAGAAGTGCTTGTGGATGAGTAGGCTCTCGAGCAAGACCAGCCATGATTTCCACAGTGACTGAACAATGTTTCATTCCTACTTCAAGCCGGAAACTGTCTCTTAATCCTGTTCTAATTTCATCCATCGGTAGATATCCCGAGATGGATGTTCATCCAGACATCCATAAATAATATGAAGAGGTATCAACACTTGAGATGTTCTCGATTGGTATCAATACTCAAGGTCTAGTACCCGATAAAATCTTCACTGCCTTGTAAGCAACACTGAACGTTTGAGGATTTTCACGGACTCTGTGACAAAAACGCCTGGATCATTTCATTTTGAGTTGTAGAAACCAGTCGAAAGGAATTAAGACAGCCGAGATAATCTGATCCAAAATCACTCCGCCGTTGATTGGGATTTTGGTAGTAAGCCGGATTTTGGCCAGCTCGGGTTACATAATGAAGTCTTCATGGCACTCTCGGTTAATGGTTTAGTTCCGATTATTGGTATTGGAGAAACACAGTAGGCGCAACTTTCTCCGGCAAATCTTCGATCTATTAACAGAATACACTCTGTCTCAACACACTACTCTTTGGTCTAGAGATGCGGCTTTTGATGGGTGTTATCAGAATAGTCATATCATTGACGACATGAGCGTCAGAGTGCTTCACACACGTCTTTGCATCAACCCACGAAAGCACGTACACCAAAGATCTTGGGAGTGATAGTACTCTAGATAGCTCGAAGCGAAACTGCTTCTCAAGAAATGTGTAAAAATGCAGACTTCGGACGCTGAACCGGGGAGTGTTATTGGCTACGTAGTGTTAAAGAGTGCACAGTATGAAAAGAAATCCATGAGAAAGAGGTTGAAGAGAGGGTCGAGGAACTACCATTGAATACTAAACGCAGTGAGGTAGCAGTCATCGAAACCACTGAGTTCCTGTACGACATCCCTTCACACACGTTTCCATAGCATTTCGCACATACATCCTACCAATCGAGCCAAAGCTTGTGGCTAGGGCAATTCATACGATTGCCTTTGCGGTGACGATTGCGAGATCGAAACTTTGGCACAACTCATATGGCCATAGGCTCGCGTAAGTGATGCAGCAATCGAGATCCTCATAGTAGCTAACGAAAAGCAACATGACGCTACTGAAAGAGATGTCCAAATGGGACATCGAGCCCCAGCCACGAAAGAAGGCCCGTAGTGACTGAGTGCCATCCCCTTCTAGCGGGTTAATTACCAAGGAATCGATACAGCATCTCTATATCACATGCAGTGCGCTAAGCTACATCTTTCACCACGCCGTCGTCCTGGTGGCAGGTACTCGGACGCGGTACCCGCCTATAAGGTTGAGCCTTATTCCACAAACATTCTTCTCATCACCAAAACTAGCGACAACCAAGATCTATATGATCTAGATCGAGCCAACCTCCTCCATTCCCACAACCCCGGAGAAGCCTCCCCAGAGATTGTCACATAACGTTGGAAAAAGGAAGGAAATAAGGGGCGTCTCGACTTGACAGTCAGACCAACACACCCTCCCCCGGCCATACTCGCCAAGACGCATATATACCACTTGCATCCGTATACCAGAGCAGAAAGAGTAGTCGTTTCCTTATAAGGGTGACACGGAGATGTCTCCGCAGAACTTGGCAGAGTTTACCTAACCCGGAAGAATGAAGTTATAGACTTTGATCTGCACTGCAAACGGTACGGGAAAAGAAAAGAACAGCAAAAGAAGTCGCATCTCGGAACCTTGTCGTGTGTCGCGCAACTCCGCTCTGGCAGGCTGTAAGTAACGCTGTTGGCCGAATAGTGGCAATGTGGGTTGGTGGGTGAGGGTGGGTGAGGGGCACGAATGACGTGCGCCGGAGCGTCGAGCGCCTTTTGCACAGCCCGGCGTTTTATGCGTTTTCTCCGGCATGCGAGAGGCGCACGATGGGATTACTGATACCGATTGAATCACGGTAGGCGACAACTCCGGGACCCGTTGACAGTGACAGCGGGGGACGTTGCGCTGGATGGGATCTTCCTCTAGGTGAAGGTCATGGTTTCATTCTCGTATCCAAGGTTTGACGTCATGTGGCCCTAGATAGTGTGTATGCTCGTCACTGTTGGTTGGCTTTATTTTCAATACTGGATGACCAGGGTACGTTGTCAACTGTGTACTGTAATTAAGAAACGACGATAACTTCAGTCCTCTGCAGCGATTGTCGTTGTTCGAGATGTTTGAGAGTAGCTGGGAAGCTACCTTGTGACCAAAAGAGGTAGGGCCTGGCTACCATTAAGGTTGGCGTTAGAGCACCTAGTGATTTGTTTCGACACATCTGACGTACCATGATGTGAAAATGCCCCGAAACGGAGTCGGTCGGAACCCTGTGCTAAGTACAGTACACCATCTCCCGCCATCCCATCATTGCGAGCCCGCGAAGGTCATCCGAACCAGCCACGTGCAAGCGTTCAAGCCACTGCATGTAATCTGGCTACGAGACGGGGCGGTACCGACCATCCCTGCCGAGCCGGGGCCTGAGGCTGGCCAGGCCTGGAGTGTAAGGGATATTAGTGACATGACATGCCCCTGGAGCTTGCACTTGAATGATTGCAAGCGTGGTGTTCACCGGACGGTGACAGTGGAGACAGACGACAGATGCAGGTGTGCTGTCACGATGGTCGTGTGCAGCTGACTATTATTGTTGGCTCGTTTGACTTGTCACTCTGGTTGGCTTCTCTCGCGAAACCAGTCTGCCAATGCCTGCAGCGAAATCTCGCCCGGTCCTTGATCCTTGGTCAAGCCGTCAAGGTACCGCGCAACAGATGCCGCAGTTGTATTAGCGACTGTGTGGCTGAGCCTGCCGAGTTGTCAACAACGACTTCTGTGGGTCGCTCTTTGTGGAGGCAGACGATCGTGATCAACAAAACTGGCTGCGGCTGAGGGTAACCGACGACTAGATCGGCGTTATGTTCTTGTTCCCGCGCCAAGAGATCTTAGCAGTTCCGGTCTCTCTTTCGTATGCACATCCGTGGAGTTGCCCTCGAGCGATGTTCTCCGAGTCCATTTCGCTTGGCAGCATTAGCAGACGGGAAGTAGAAGATCCATCTGGACGGATGTCCGTAATATGTCATTTTCGTGATGAAGTCTTCAATCAGTTCTGCGTCGCATGCCAAAGACCGTGAAAGAATTCTGCGCTAGCTTTGCAGCTGAGGCAAGTCGTAGCGACTGATCACAGACCCTGTAATTTCGAATATTGGCTGCGGCTGGAGTGCGGATCGAAAAGGGCAGGAGAGGGTCGATGGTGGCTGAGCGGACGATCTTCGGCTCCTGCTGCTTAGTCATATGCAGGAACCAATGTCGACTAGCAGGTGTCAGCTGCCGAGCAATGACAAACTGAAAATGACATTGCGCTCATACGTCAACGTGCAATCGAAAGTTTTTCAAATGCTCTACGACACTGGCGACTCAATACGCGTGGAGTGACAAATTCACAGCGAGTGGGTAAGAGATTTAGTGGTTACAGATGGAGTGCGGACACAAGCCGGTTTGACATCCTGCCCAACAAAAATTTAGGCTTTCGTTCGCATGAAAACACTTCTGTATTTGCTCACAGGCAAAATTCTTAGTGCAGAGTGTGTGGCTTGGTTGACGATGAGTCGTCAGTCGCATGTAGATACTGATGTTGGCTCTGGTAGTATACCTAGTGCACGTTGGAGCGAGATTATAGGGCTCGATCTACCAGATCTCTCGTCCAGGTCTGTGGGTTTCCGATAGTATCTGATACTAGTGGGTCGCGCATATGGGATCTCAATGACGCGCCCTAGCCGTAGCCATTACTGGTTAGCACCACACCTGTGGGCCACGGGCGAATGAGCACTATGTTCCCTCCGAACTGGCGGAGCAATACCGATTCGCTGAGGCGTGGAAAGTATATTGTAATGATGGAAGTCACAGCATTTTGCCATAGGTCAATGCTCCAAGAGATGCAGGCTGGCGGGATCGCGCGCTTGTCTTCTGGTAGCATAGTAGCTATGTGCCATGACGGCTTGAGTACACCATCTTAGATTACATCTATAAGACTTCTCAAATCGACGATCAGCAACCTTAAGGCTTCTAGCTTCCGCATGACTTTCAGCTCACTATAGAGCGCTTGCTCTCTGAATCGTTCTCTCGTACAGTTAGCGTCGATCTGACCATAGGACATGGCTGCAGAAATGCGGGAGGTGTGATAGTAAAACCTTCGAACCCTTAATGATTTACGGGAAGCATGCTCGCTTTCTGGAAAAGAATCAGCGCCTGTTCTAGCAGAGCCAATAGAGTGATTCTTGGGTCGAATGTCCTTCTAGTTTTCAGTCCTTAAGCAGGTGCGGATATGTATGAGACGTAAAATATTGGCCGACGACTGTATTCAATGGACATGCCACAACGTTTGCTTGAACGCGGGTTCCCATGCCACAGCACCTATGCAGTTCTGATGGGAGAATCCCAGATACCAGGTAAATGAACATGCAGTGTTTGTTCAAGGTGAACGATCAGTCTGCTGAGCAGAAAACTAGTATACCGGAAGAAATAGTGGGGCATGGGACGCCTGTACGCCACCATGTGTTGTGCGATTGTGCATGCAGACCCCTCTTTCTGAATCAGGTCTTTTGCATAACCATATGGGCGGTTGATACATGGCCTTCATGTACAGTATTTTCTGGTATGGCAATAGAGCTTCCGTAGTTCTGGACACAAGACCAGTTCCATGATGGGGGGCGAGCCCTGTACATGTGTCACGAACACTACCCGCCCGCTTGTTAGTTATCGTTATGTTACTGTGCTCTAATCTCTTTCTTCCGTCGGGGTTGTTCGAGCCAGACCAGCCCAGATACATTTCAAACGCCAATCGTGCGGTACGCATCGAGACAGGCGGTGTAGTAGACCAACAAGATAACGAGCACATGATGTCGAACGATGCATCTTCTTTAGGAATTGATACACATCTCTCCAAATATTGAGTAGGTCTTATGGCTTCCAGAACCCAGAAGTGTCAGCCATAACCTCATACATGAAGCTCCAGGCAACCACTAGAACGATGTTATAATATAGCCTGCTCTGATCGTGAATTGTGGTGCGAAAGATGCAAAGATCGAGGTTCAGTGTACGTTTGGTATTTGGAAACCGGGTTGGAGGTCTGTTCTTGCAGCGAATGGCGCTCGTGGCTTCCGTCTCGTATAACGACGCCATCGAACTCAACTGCATTTCAAGGGCACCAAGCCGTGCATTGCAACGCAAGGGCTCCCTTGGTACAAATGATCGCCGGCAAGGAATTGCGGCGCCATCTCCACATAAAATGCAGACATGGAGGTCAATGTAGGGCATGTTTGAAGAGACTGTTGACTCGGATCGAAAGGTGTCCTGTACTAGCTGTTAGTGTTGGAGTGGTGGTACACTGCAGCAGTTTGACAGCCCCTTGGATCATGACACAATCGGCGGGCGACACGACAACGAAGGGCGGCCGTCTGGAGAAGAGTTGACGGACTGTCAGGCGGTCAACTGCTGCTGTGTAGCCATGGGCTACGGCGATGGACGCCCGCTGTGGTAGCGGGGCTTGTGTGAGTGCTCCTGAAACAGATGCTGGGCTTGTGGTTGCCATTCTAGGGGGTCGATAACGACTGTAAACCCGAGCCAGAGGTTCACCCTTGGGCTCAACCGGGATGGTGATTTTGGACAGCAGCCAAGGTGGTGGGAGCGGGGACACGAGCCGACTAGCGGTCAAGACAAACGACGCATCTATGCAAACAACTTACACGGATGGTGCTTTCTCGGTGTGGCGCCGAAGCATAAGAGCAACGCTGCAATTTGGCCGTCTTTCGGCATGCGCGTACCGGAGGAGATGTCGAGGCACAAAAGTCGAAATTAGAGACTTGATGGCGTCGAGGTCAATTTGGAAGCGCGAAACACGACGGGCAATGGTTGCCATAGCGGCGCGCGACAAGGTTTCGTAGATTTCGATAGACGCAGGTTAGGGCGGCGCAGAGTTTGCCATAGTGTCGCGTCCACTTGCAGGACAATGAGGGCCAAACAATGGCAGCGTGGAGAAGGTCTCAGTTTCGACGGCAGCGTTCCGGCACGCGAGACGGCGGGTGTTGAAAGTCGAGCGAGGGCGAGGTCTGATCACCGGCTAGCGGGAAGCGATCAGCCAATCGGGCAGGCGCGACCCCGAGAGCGGGAAGGTGCCAGCTATCCCTGTGCCAATCATGGCGGCGCAGGCCAGGTCGCACCTCTTCCGTAGATGCCACCATCAGTCGTCTGCATGAGCCTGACATCTGTCATCCACCCGCGCTCCAAGGGGCTCTCCACCGTGACAGCCTACTGCCATTGCCAGGGACTGTCATCTCGATCTGCCTTTTCGTCTGAAGCCGATGGTCACTGACGGCTCTAGAAGCATATTGCCTCGCCAGCACGCATCAAATGTTTCGTTAGCACTGTCGATGCGCTACTCGCCAACTGATTCAGGGTCTGCAGACTACGGCTCCCCAATTAGTCGTGCCTGGCACCTGGCCGAGCATTGAACGCCGTGCATCATCTCCCGCTCTCCTACGTCGTCGCTCTAGCTGCTATTCCTGTCCCACCAGACGAACGCCTCCCTCTCCCTTCCTAAAGCTCATCGCTGCAGCACTAGCTGCTTCTGTGCCCCGTCACGACACCAAGGCCTCCCGCTCCTGGATGCTGGAAAAACTCCGTGGCACAAGTGCCCACCCAGGCCAGCCACCAGCCTGGTTCTGTCCTGCGGCAGCTGTCTGCCGGGTATCGTACCTTGTGCTGGGTGACATACACGCCGTCAGCGTGGCTCTGATGTGCACGACAGACCTCTTAACGTCGGATTACACTCCGCTCTCGACAGACGTGCAACCCGCGTTCATGACCTTAATGCTGCTGCACCTGCCCCACTTACCTCGCAGCGACGCTCATGGATACTGTGCTGGTTCTGTCGATTCAGATATCTCCGGCAAAAACAAACATAAGGGTACCGTGCCACCGGCTCCCGGTAGAGTTCAAGTCAGGGCCAGCAGCAAGTAGAGTTAGTAGAGTTAGTAGACTGCGCAAGGTGCTAGCCTCGACGCAATTACCACCATCCTATTTTGCTCGTGGGCGCAAGGCTTGATACTGAGGAAAGTGGTAGCAACCTATAGCGAGGCTGGTGTCGATGAACTACTGCTTGTGGTTGCAGGCAATCAGCGAGGCGCCAGACCATGACTTGCACGTCGGCCAATGCGTGAGCGTCGCCTGCTGCCGCCGCCGTAATGGAACGTTGTGAGGTTGCTGCGGCATCCAGTGTGTGGGAGCGCAGATGAGGTAATCGACAGGCAGGGTGCGACAAAATGGGCGAAAGGCATTCGGCACCCCTGCGCCTACCTGCGCCGAGTCAGAAACAGCGAGATCTGCGACGATGCGAGTAGTGGGGACACCGGCGACGCTCGATGGCGTCTGCAGCAGATGGCGCGACTCCAGCACCGGCTTGTGCCTCGAAACCTGCGGCGTAGCTTGAGCGTCTCTTGTTTCCTACGCTCGGCCTACGTCCGGCCAGAGCCTGCATAGTCACGCTCGGAGAATATAGACCAAACTTTAACTCTCACCTGTCAAGTAAACACAGACGTGGTGCTAAACACGCCTGTCTGTCCTTCATTGGATCCTACCAGCATCACCCCTGACGCGCTTTCTACTGCTGCAAGATCGCAGGGCATGCTTGATGTACGGCCCGTTGCAGTCCCTCCTAGTCTAGAAACGCCTCCTTCGCTCACGGTGCTTCTGCTTCTTAAACACCTCGGACCCGTCATCACGACCCCAACTACCTTCTTGCGAATCGCTGAGTGCTTGCGCCGGCTCAATCGTCACCACTTGTCCCCGACTCCCTCCCCAAAACTAATACCCCCCATCGCCTCACCACTCATATATCTGCGATATATAATTCTTGGTTCAGTGGTCCTGCATCGGACCCTTGGGTTGCCTTTTCAAGTTAATTTTTACATCACTACCATAATACCTGGGTGAGTAATACCACACAACTGAGCCAGCATCCTATGGGACCCCGCTCGTGTCGATGGCATTCGACGGTGCCAGCCAAAGACTGGTACCAAGCTGTCAGTAACTATGGGCGAGCGAAGCAGCCCATCCACTCACCATGGCGACGCTGATACTAGAGTGATTATTCGCTAACGCGTCGCTTCTGCAGAGTATTTAAGCAGTGTTGCCGTTGAACACATGGAATATCTTACTCTCCAAGATATTCCGCACCGCCACTGTGAACCGCTGCACTCGCGCAAGATGAACTCCTCGCATCCTGCCGAACGGCCGCTGGCTAACATGGTCGCTGCGGTAAGTCAAGAACAAGACTCTCCTTCCTCTTTTGTAACATCCGCTCCTTCCCCTCCAAGTTTCCTCGAGCCTGCACTCTGTGATCCTTTCCGCAGAGATGCACAGGACGTACCCTTGAGGGCAAGAGCATCCGAGCCCTCGGCTTATGCATCTTCCCATCACCCCCCTACCCAACCCCCGTCCATATCAGCGGGCGGATTCGTCGATTACCCCCGTTCACCAAATCCCCCACGCTCATATTCTTTACCCACTCGTCGCCGATCGCTTTCCCGAGGGCCGGCGATGCTACCTGACTTCGGCTTGCGCATGATCACTCCAGCCGATGCAGTCGACAACCGCGACGAATTACGACCTTCTGTAACCTCGAGCACAACTCTGACAGAGTCACAGAACCACCACATGCGCAGCTCTCCACCTATCCAACCAGGCGAGCAAAACTTCCCTGGCAAACTCCCTTCCTTCTCCGAGGTATGTTGGCTTGCAGCTTATTATCTCTGTATCGCTTGATTGACTTTCCCAGTTCCTCCACACTACACGGACTACCACACCACCACGGACTCCTCAGCGTCGGAATGACTCGGTTGAAAGCTCTCCCCATGTGCAACCCCAGTTTGACGATGTGGCTTGGTCTGAGAGCAAGCGAAGACGCGTCGATACACTCGGCGACATCTACGAGCCACCTGTAGTGCAAGTCCGTCGCACGAGCAGTGCTATTGATCCAGCCCTTGCTGGCTACTCGCCCCACGTCCTTCAGCAGCATCCAGTGCAGCCTGTAGGATCCGGCATGCATCACCGCCAAAGCCACTCGTACGTGCCACCACAACAGCAGTCGATGCCTTCGAACCCACACATGCGACACCAGTCACCCTCAGCTCCCCAAGGCCACATTTCCTACGCGCAACCTATCGGACAAAGTCCCTTCCAGCAATCCATGGTTCAGCAAGGCTCCATGTACGAGCCACGTCATAGCTACTACCATGAGTCTCCAGCAGCTGTCTATGGCGGATACGACCGACCTAACGATTCTTACTTCACTCGGGCCGGATACCAAGGCTATGACACATCCTACAGTGACATTCGCTTCCAACAGCATGTTGGCCTTGATCACAACGCATTTAACAGGAAGCGCCGAGGCAATCTGCCGAAAGAGGCCACGAACCTCCTGAAAGACTGGTTTGCCGCCAACCGAACATCACCATATCCCACAGAAGACCAGAAGATGGAACTCTGCAACAGAACTGGGCTCAGTCTCAACCAGGTACGTGAAGCGTCTTAGCAAGAACGGTTATTTTGACACCCTCACTACATCTGCCACTCCTGTCCTTCAGTGTCACTCTTAGACCACAGCGTGCTGACCCAAAATAGGTTTCCAACTGGTTTATCAACGCTCGTCGTCGTGCTCCACAAAAGGAACAACGGGAACGCGAGGCCAATGGTCCCGAAACATAGTGTCCCTCAGTGTAATGGGGATCATCCAAAAGTGCTACCTTCACAAGCCCACCGGAATGTTCCATTCGGACGTCGTGATGACGAGATTGCACGTTAACTGTTACCCTTTCCGCCATCGGCGTTCTGGTGGGGCCGCAGTCCTTTGGGTACTTTCATTCTTTGATTGGCTGGCTTAGTCTTGACGTTTTGCGGGCATCTTCGGATGCCATAATATCCACTGGTCGCACGAGCGACCTCGTACTTTTCCTTCAGTCGAATACCCTGGGACCCAAAACGGAGCATACATCAGCGTTTTGGAAAAATGGAGTTTGGGGATTCATTGCGCTAAGAGTGCAGCATTTGGGAACTGCAACTGCGTTTCTCGATAGGCTTTGGCCTCCAAGATTGTTTACGACATAGTCTAATCACATTGCGATCTTCTCATATCATCCATGATGAAATCTTTGACTGTTATCCTGTTGTCTGCACAAAATTTGCTAAACATACGCAATCACAGAAAGAGACTTTCCAGGTCACAATCATGGTGAAACCCACCACTGGTGAGTGGCGCTATATCTGTAATCATGATCCAGCCCACCAAACTATCGAATGTTTAGCGCGCTCTCCAATGCTGCGCTCGTAGTAAACGGCCAGATTCGGTCTGATAACGCACGCAAGGCCAAATGTGGAAATTTGTTCGTACATCCCCCTGGTCTCCATGAACCCCAACCTAGTGTCCATGCTCGAAACGCCATCGACAGCTCCGGTGTTTCAAACCCCAGAGTTAAAACATGACACACAACGGTGTTGCTTGAGAGGCTACAGTAGCCGTTTGGTCGAGGTTCGTGCTTTCGGCAAGTGACGGCCCCGGCAACATGTCTGAACAAGTTGAGCCATGACATGTTTCGTGATATTGAATCTCAACACAGCAGTTCTCCACCGACCTCAATCAGTTGGTCTCGCCAAACTTGCAAGGTCAAACAGCTGGGACGCCACTATCACTAACGCTTTCTCTGCTCCACTTAGCTTTTGGTATTGATAACCGGCTTTTATTGTTGAAAGGCTCCACTGTCCGGTCAGAAGTTGCATTAGACCCTTGCTATGATCTTCTTCTAGGATTGACCCCTCACAGCTTGACGGGAAACACTGCACATCATTGGGGGATCAGAGCCGGGGTTCGCCCTGCGGAACTCGCCACACTAACTCTCCCGAAAACCAAGGACCATGTTCTAAACTCATTCCCAGCAAGGATGCCATGGAGCGGCCCGGCCTGTAAGGGATTACACCTGTCGTCCTTGATAGACGTTGGAAGGTGTGACACAAGAGCACCTGTTGCGCATTTCGCTGAGACTAACGTTCACACGTCCTGGGCGAGTAAAAAAAAAATAGTTAGGAACCCAGCTGACTCTTGACCCTTGCAGCTTCTCGCGTGAACTACCCAACTTGTAAACCTCTCATTATGGACCGGGCGGCCTAACGCACGTACATGATCGAACCCGGAAGGTCCCGGCCCATGCTCTCGCCTTTCCAGACGCATACCCTGCGGGAGGCTTTCTCCATTAATAGTACCATGGTAGCATGAAACGTCCCTGAACGAAATGACGATCAACGGTTATCCGGAAAGTGGCAGCCTTGCAGACAGCGCACAGCTCCAGGATAGGCACGAAAGCTGTCAATGTTTCAACGGCTAAAGGCGTGTAAGAATCTCGCTTTCCAGATGATGTCCGATGGATGAATGCGGTCTCAGACTAGAAGAAGATAGATGGCGATCACCACATCCTCGCGCAGATCCTACTTTGACGCCCAGGATAGTTTTCCGGGGTTGACTGTGACGAACAAGATGATGATCATCGCTACCTGACTCCGGCAATACTGATGCTCCGGTCATTCCCCGAGCCATACCATGGAAAATTATGCTAGGCTCGTACAGAATCATGATCTTACCCATCTGAACTTACGCAACACCAAGCAAATCAGCCCACGTCCCCGCGTTGAAACAAACATTTTCCTACTCGTTCAGGAAAGTACCGTTGGAGGTCTGGAATACATTAACAGTATCTACACATTCACGTCCATATCCACATCAAAGCGGCCCCGGTAAACTCATGGCTCCAGCAGTACACCCTCCAAAGTACCAGATATAGTAGCAAGCAGGTACCATGAAGTACTTAGCGATGTCGGGCAAGTGACCTGGAGTTTGGTTTGGGTTACGAACTTCGATTACCCGCATTGGACTTGTGCTTGCATGATATGTGGGAGGATCGGCTGAGTGGTGGAGCGGTCGTGTACCAAATTCTTTACAGGCCTATCATGGGAGAGATACGTTTGGTTGGTTGAATACGCAAGAGGGGTTGACTTTAGAGCTTGGCCACGTGCAGACGTGGAGACGTGCTTGTGCAAACGATCTTTGTACGACGCGAGAGTAACGTCAGGGCTGTTTGTTATTAGTAAACGAAGAGAATGTCTCGAGTAATTTGTAGACCTATGACATTCAGCATCCATGCGGAACCCAAATCGAGTGGCGGTAACAGTGAGAACATCTAGCAAGACTGGAGTCGTCCTCCCCCAGTGGAGCATGCAGCGATGATGCAGATATCTATTCCATTCCCTTCCATCGAATTACTATGTACAGTTTGCGACCAACAACATACGTGGGTATCAAATCCTAAAAGAAAAAATGTACGAAGAACGCCCAAGTCGCTTAACGGGGAAAAAACAATGCTGGCATTTACCGCTCATCAACGTCGCCTCCTCGACCTCCCGCTCTTATCAAGGATGGCAAGACTGGTTCCAAGATATTTGTCTTCGTACATCTTCGCCATATCGTAGACCACCTCGCCCCACTCAAACTCACCCCTGTGGCTTTTCTGTTTACAGGGAGACTGTCGGAAGGGCAGTAGCCAGTCGATTATGTTTTCACCCATAGTATTTTTCCAACCTTGCATGAGGGTTGTATACCACGGGTGTTCCATGGGTTTGGTTTGTATTACGACGTACGAGCGGTTCGATGGGCGGGTAAAGCTAGTAAGGATAGGCCAATCCTCCTTCTCGTGCTCTCTTTCTTCAGCCATGTCTCTGCTAGATTTCTTATTGTGGTGTTTACTGGAGGATGTTGTTGGGGTCGTAGGCAGTGCATTTGTGGTGTTGGGGCTCGCTGAGGAATGAGATGTATCGGGATTTGTGGAGGAACGAGACATGAGAAAGGCAATGTTGTGGATGCCACCGCGTTGGATGCCTTCGACCGAGGTGAAGTTTATCATCAGATTCCAGCCTGTCATACAGGTCATTGTGAAGGTGAAGATGCTAAACAAAACCGCCGTCGCAAGGGCACCGATCCAGGTTCCTGGCCGTGATCCCATCTGTCATATGTTAGCCTGCTAGACATACACCATTCTGCCTCTCCACGTACCTTGGAATTCCTCTCCGCAAAGAAGATAGCTACCACGATCCAAGTAAATGTTGTGTACAGCGAAGCATACGCCACGAACTGCATAAAGAACTTGTGCGTAGTTTCTGCTATGATTCCACCCGCCCAAGGGCAATAATGGTCCATTTTCTTCACACATCGCCCCAGTTCCTTGCAGTGATGTGCCCTATCCGGCTTCCAGTTGTGGCATTTCTCACACCACAACGGCAGTCCTTGATAATCGCAGATGTACGCATCGTATTGATCGAACCCAAAGCCCTTCGTGTTCGCATCCGTCTTCTCTAGCGACGGGTCGCCGAGGGGTATAAGATCCGGTTTCGACCAGATCAATTGTAGTAGGCGTGCCCATGCCATTATGAGGAACAGAAGGAGGATGGCGTATACAACGATGAGTGCGATTCCTGTGGAGCGCCGGGGCCGGATATCGAAATCTCGCTGGATGTCTTCCGAGGGATCTATGAGATACTGGACGCATATCAAATAGACCACAACATATGTCTCATAGCCCAGCGCGCCGAGTTCTAGAAGGGGTAGGATAACAGAGGTGGCCTGGCCGATCTTCTGTTCCATGGCTGTGGTATCGGTCGCGCCAGGCTTCTGCGAGCCGATGACTGCTGGGGGCGCCATCGCGTGGGATCGTAGCAGACTCGTGCGCGACCAAAAGAAGAGAGATAGAGCAATATGGTCGTAGTCGTATGGCGGTGGTCGCACGCGTGGTCGACGAAGCCCTCGAGAAGGCCTGACGTTTCGCGGGTGTTGCACCGCAGCAACCGTGACGCCGCGCAGCCAGGATTGCACGTGGTTGGGGCGCTAATTTACTCACAACCGGTTAGCATACAGGAAACGTCATCGTCATCTGCAAATTGGCAGACAGAGCAACATGTCATCACAACCACCTCCTATGATTTCGTGTCTGGTGTAGCTCCATCTCAATGACCTGTTTGATGAACGACAGCGACGCGTAGCGTGTCTTTCGCCCAATCGGCTGGACCCCGGCAGTCGCCGACGTCATACAAAGTAACAGATCGGCACAACACCACAAACACCTCTCGTCACAAATCGGATTGAGTTCTTCACTATACCGCAATGCTTTTCCCATCTGGCGACTGAAAACTACCAGCTTTGAATGACAGGTTTTGCTTTTCTCAGCAATGACAAGCCAAGCAAAGGCTGCTTACTCACTAGTAGCCAACGTGCATCGACTTGCATGACCCATGATAACACCCCGCACAACGTTTCTCAGCCTTCCCTGACATTCGCGTCTACATGTCTGCTTCTCCAATGTTCAATAGGCAAGAGCGGGATCAGGATTGACCGTATTAGGCCTATAGCGTCTATCTCACCACTGACCGCCGGTGTACTTGTATCACCGGCCCAGAATTCCGAAGAAGCTAACCCATTGGCACTGACCGACCTGACGAGGCTATCATATAGCCTTGTAGAGCCTCATTTAATCGCGCTTCTCTCGCTGTTTGACACGCTGGCTACTGCCTTTTGGCCCCCAAGAGACGACCGTTTTCTGTTTCCGGCGGGTTATGATCCTATCATGCGTAAATATCAGGACTAGAACACGGCAGGAAACAGAAAACGGCGCTTGTGCTCATGCGGCTCTTACTTATGCGGCTCCAATTCTGTCTAGGTTATATACGCTGCACCGTGCATGAGATGATGAGCAGACTATCCGACTCTTTTGCAGCCCCCCGATGGTAGCAATGTAACCCTAGCAGCCATTACTGACCATATGGCTAGCCTTATGTTTGTCAGGCAGATTTTGGAGAAAGCCTTGGGATTGAGGCTGCAATTGGCAAACGCTGGGACCTAGCTGCTGCAAGTGAGTTCGCATCGTTGCCCAAAAATCTACTAATTGGAAAACGACCATTGTATTAGGCGCGTTCACGACGTGAATCCAACACCGCCTTACTTCACCTGTCATAAGATGTGGCTGTAGGCCACAACAGGAACGTGCACGACCGTCGGTGAGGACTCTGTCGCCGCAACCAGTAGACCTAGCAGACTGTCTGGCACTGCCCTCCTCAGCGCTCGAGAAAGACCTCCGATGGATACCGGTGCATCAGGGGCCTTCGCAGCCTTCAAGGCGCCATTATGGGAATATCTGCTAGCTATCAGCCCCACTCACCATTAGTGGCCATAGAATACAGGTCGCATACTTGGTCTGAGAGCACGGGCACTGGATCTCGGCGAATGTCTACCTCAATCAGACATGGCCTGCACCGACACTTGTGACGGCTGTGTTGTGGGGGAATCCTTCGATCTCCCAAAGGCTCGTAAGCAACACACGGTTCGTGTGAAGCCCAATTCTACGCAAGTGAATAAGGCCATGGTCTCAGGGATTTGATTGCCGAATCGAGCGAAAAAGCCGATTTTGCCTGGCCAAAATGGCTGCGCCTACAGCTGAGGCACACAATGAATCTATCCGACCTATCTATACTTTGGGTGTCGGCAGCTCGACGCAGCCCAATGTAGCCCGATCACGGCGATATTCATTCAGGCAAGATCACGTATGTCGAGTCAAACATCACGGTCATGCTCCAAGTCTAGATCCACGATCCTGGCACCAATCAAGCGCCTTTGGTCAATTTCACATGTGATTTGTACGTACATCCATCGAGCACCCCCAACAATACATTTGCGTCTACGCCATCTCTCTGAATAGAACAGATGGCGTTGGTGTGCGCCTGGTGGAACGAGCTGTTGATGGCCTTCTCCTAGATTCGTCGTTCCTTCGGATTTCGGCCTTCTTAGATCAGTTGTGTGGTAGTGGCAATGGTTCAGGCTGGTGTTTGGTGGGATCCACAATGGTTCATCTGCTCAAGATGAGATTCGACTAGAAGTGGTTCCAGGCCTCCACTTGCCGGCTCCAACAAATCAGCCCTGCCTTACTTGGAGAGGCATACCAAGCATTTGGTGCGATACACCGACTGTGAGTACTGTAGCCCTACGCCCACTCGCACCACTAGGCCCATGAACCCGGGTACTGGGTGATAGTCATGTGAACTGTTGTGGACGGCCCTATCCAGACAGAACCAATTCTGCTACCTATAATCAGGAGGACAGTCGGGACGATTGGTAGCTTGAACCTACCTGCTCCGCTCAGCTGTTGTTGCCCATGTATCCTTGGGCCAACGTTAATTGCCAATGGAGTTTGCGGAACACAGCTTTGAACCTTAGGATACTGATGGCTACACAATGAACGTCACGAGCATTAGTTTCTCATAACATACCACCATTCAGAGTGGCTAATTCCTCATACCCTAGCAGGTCCTTCGCTCTTCCTCGCCTCACCACCGACTTTGCTTCGTTGCGCCCATTAGGGCCTGTATGCCTCACAACGGCCGCCACCCTATCTGGGCTCTAGTACCTCTCGAGAGTCTCACCAGAGGACTGTCTGTGCGGTGCACAGCACTGAAAGAGGAAAAAGGCGGTGCATCTATCATGGAGGATCAGGTTCAAAGGTATGATTTAAGAACTTCGACATTCCACTCCATCACAATATGACACGAACTCAATCAAACAATTCACCACCATATCTATCAGTCTTCCTTGAACAACTACTGCTCTCTGTTGCTTCCAGGGCCAGACCATTACTCAACATGGCCATCCACTCAACCCTCCATTACGACCAGGATGTACCTGTCTGCCTCGAAAATTCCTCAGCAAACATCCTTTCGGACTCAATGCATTCAGGGGCGCACTTTACAGGAAACACTCAGAGTACTTCGATGCTACACGCTCATGGCATTGCTCTCCCCATTGGCCCTCTCTTTGGCAACGATGACTACGACCAAACCCATCTGAGTCTTTCCAAGAGCCATAGTTACACGTCAACACCCACGGACGGCGGTGCCGTGGTGTGGTATTGCTCGCACTGCGGTGATGGACCTATAGGTTCATGGCAGAACTGTTGCGCTGTTTGCTCCCATGTAAGATGCGGTGGCTGCACAGTGGAAGTAACCAAATAGACATGGTCGTACACCGCCTACCATTACCGCTCCGTGCAACGTCCACCGCACTCACTAAACGGCACTTCATCATGAGCGCATCTTCCTCTTCAAATGTCTCATAAATCGGCTCTTCTTTCTTCTGCACGGTTCCATGTTGATTATCTGTCGGCGTTTCTGTTTTTGGTTTTGTAATATTCTGGGCTAGAGGTCCTTGGTTTCACTCTCTATGTCAACTATCGCACCATCACTGCAGCATTTGGCGGACCTGTCCAGCACTTGCTTAGCGCGTGTTTTTATTGTCACTGGTGTTGTTTGTGAAGTCTGCGCTTCGGTTTGCCCGGCGCAGGCCGCCTCTTTGGAGAGCCCTCTCTCGTTGGAATCGGTTGAATTTGGAGTTCAGTTCGCAATTTATCATACTTTAGAAATACCCCAGCCACCGCTTACTTCATCCTGTCGCCATCTTTGTCACTTCCCCACTTGGCTATGTACAATGTCCTGAAATCACGCTGGGATCCCATGCCTCCACCGCTTGAAAGGGGAACCGCACGGTAAGCAGAATTGCGACCATCTCGCGTACAAAAGCGGGTACACAGTCTTTGAAACAGTCCAAACACGCTCTTTTAAGAGAATTACAGACTGATTGGGAAGGCTCTCCCAGCGGCTGGTCCATATACGGAGCATTCTGCCGGCAAACGAAGGCATGACATTGCGTTAAACCATACTTTGCGTCGATTATGATGATTTGGACCAATTGACTGATCGTATCATTTTGAGGAGGCGGTGTCCTGTGTCCGATTAGGCTGGCGGTAAAAGAAGTTCCTACCAAGAGATGCAGGTCTGGTTCATGAAACCAGGCTACAAGGCCTGCAAGGCTAAAATGAGGTCCTCAAGGTGTTTGCCTTCTTTTGCCTACTCCAATTCTCCGAAAATTCAGCCGTTTTATGGGATGTGGCTCAGCAGTCTCACGTGCCACTGAGACTTTTGGCCGCTCAAGCTCCGAACTTCCTCAGGCTTTGATACTATCCTCAGTCGTCCAACCAAACCCCCTCAGCATACTCATCGTCATGAATGTTGCCGGAAAACGCGTAATGCTTTCAGCACTCAGCCATCGTCCCTCTCTGCTATTACGTGTGACTGGAGGCCCTCAGAACGAGGGACGTCATGGTAGTGAGTGTGGCTCATAGGCGGAAACGAAGCTACAATGGCATCAGCGGTCACAATACACATTTTGCCCTAAGGCAAAGGACTCTCTCCTGTGGCGGAGCGTTGTTTACGCCAGGCCAGGGGACACAAGGGACCACTTCCTTGAGTATAACACTTCTGATTGATCTCCTCTTCGAGCAGATCTTTTATCGAGACACCTTCGCACTCTCGCAAGCACAACAAGCTCACTTCCAACCTTGTTCTTCCTTGACCTTCATCGGCTTTTAGCTCTTTCTTACCACGACTACTACCACTGCCAACAAAGACCATGTCGTATTATTACTACTGCAAGAGCTGCGGTGATGGCCCGCACAACGTCTCCCTCAACCCGCATTGCCCCAACTGTTACGTTCTCCAGAACAATGCGCCGCGGTGCAACTCGCACGACTACCACGCCAACTTGCACCCACTTGATGCCCACTCAGATCCACGCACTTCCTACTCTATAAGCACCCGTGCGAACAACAGATACGCACCAGGTACCGCTACCTATCTCCTTGGGCGCACAACACAATCGTGTTCTGCTGGTGCATCCATCATTTTTCCCGTTGGCAACACCCCCTATAGTGCCCCTTATAGTCAACGACCGGAGCGCCCGCCGGTATACCGCTGGCAGTGTTGCAAATGCGGCGGTGACAACAGCTATATGACAGATCAAGGTTGCGCGTTCTGCTACAACCACTGGAGAAGTAGTTGCTGCTACGTTTACGATACTGGTAAATAGCATCCCTGGGCCGTTGGAGCAAGCCGAGTAATATGTTGAGATGTACAACATGCGGTAAGCACTCACGACTCAGTCTCATGAGACCCTTATTAACACCCATAGGTACTGATATTGTGACAACGCACCGAAACGGTTGATGGTGCTCAGCATACTTTTGGTTAATTTAGGCTGGCGTTTTCGGTAGACTGGTCTTCTCTTTGATTTGTTCGTCCGTTACTGAACTTGTAACCTTTCTATTGTGGAATGTGTTTTTTCTTCGCTGCTCGGTCACCCACTTTGAGTGCGCCAGCTTCCTAGTGTAGAAAATGGTATGTCTCCGTGTGTAATGGTAGTCTCCTCATTCGTTCAAGCGTGGCATATGACAGCACAGGGTCTTTCAATACCACGTTTCAATTAGCTTTTCCTGCATCACTAGTCAATGTATTCAAGCACCATCTTGATACCATAACAGACCTTCATTATCTTCTTCAGGCTTCCCATAACGGCACCCAGTGGATATCGATCATGGCCTATGCTGCTGGACTTGTTTCGATATGGGAGCCTAAGAAATAAATTTCATGACCGGTCGAAGGATGACGAATTTTGACAGTGACACAAGATGGCGTCCAGGGCGAAATTAGTGGGTTGTGGCGTCTAAAGGCCGGGCGAGGCACTATTGGGCCGGTGCACACCATCCTCCTACTCTTGCCACCACCGCCCTGTATTTGGTGGTTCGCAAAACGGTCAGCGCCCCTGACTAGGGCCAGGGTTGGTTTTCGTGGCACCCATATGCGACTCCGGGGCGTAAGAAGGCGTAAAAGCCTTTACAATCGTAAACCTTAAGTCGACGTCTAAGCTCAACCGTCATATGACGGCGACTCTTTTTCGATCTTGTTCGTATGCTCCAGAGTTTCTCGATTGCGCAGTTGGAGGACGAAGAAGGGCACACTTGCTGAGTTGTCGACGCTCGGCGTGCGCGACACGCCTCACATTATAGGCAACAATATCAAGGAAAATGCCGCAAAGATCGCAGTCATACCTTTCTTCACTAAGCATAAGTCTGCCTTCGCTGAATATCCGCTGTATGCCTTGGTGTAGAACTCATGTCAGCTACAGACCTTGATCGGGGGATGAGCGAGGTCGAGATAAAGCCCTGCGCACCCTTGCCAACCCCCTGTAGCTTTTGTGCGGCTCTGCTCTATATTGAGATACTCGCTACACATGGAAGGTAAAAAGGATGCAGGATTATAATGCCCGACAATATTGCGCACATCATAGGGTGTTGTAGTGGTGGTTTGCATGGCACATTGCCTGCCTCAGCCTGAGTCTTAGGCGGCTGCCTAGGTGGAGTCGTATCACGTGGGCTTGCCATAGCCCCTCTTGGCTGGATAACCATAAGTTGTAGTGACGAGACATGAGTTTGCTGAGTGGACCTAGAACGTCAGAAATTGAAGACGAGTAGTTATGAGCGCAGAAGTAATACGCGTTGAGCAGGGCCGCTTGATGGCGATTGTCCTGCCAATTCAGCAGGTATTTTCGCTCCTTCTCGCACAAAGTATATCCTCCCGCTTGTTTGCGGCAGAATGAGTTTGGTGAAGTTCGGTTGGTTTCTTGAGTCTGTAGGTATAGTTTCACCATTGCTGACATCTGCGTTCTGATCACCCGCGATAGCAAGGCGACTTCGGCATCGAGGATACGAAGCTATCCGTATTAAGTCTAGGGAAACCAGCCAACACGGAACAAACTACATACAGCGCCCTTCGCTATCTACCCGTGCTTACCCAATGCCTCACTTTGACAATGTCGCTGTTCATATAGTTATTGCGAAATTGGAATTTTGACGAGCTGAAACCGCCCGGTGGTATAGGAGATGTCTCTTCTTCAGCTCAACTAGAGAGAAGGTTCGGGCTCTGCAACGACGAATAATGAGGCCGCAACTAGTTAACCTCGCTCTTAGCACTCAAGTGACGGCGGACGTGGTCCGAGACATCGTGGATAAGAGGTGCATTGGCTTCCGTCACTTATTTGGCCTGAGTAATGCAGAAGCGGGGTATCTTACCACTGTGCTTGGTAATAATGTCATTTCGAGGAAGTTCCTACGCCCTACCTGACATCTGCATCTGCCAAGCGCCAGAAACCTCAGAGCTATCACCCATATACATATTGCTAGCATCTTGGTTGCCAGCAAACATCTTGTCGAGTTGACTCCATAGCCTATGGCAAACTCACTAGCGAGTCAAGCACCACAGCCTCGCCTCCTCTATAGTTACATCGCTCAACCACAATTCTATAGCGATCACCATCATCCAGATCGTCAAAACACTCCAGACGGACCTATCTCCATTGCATTCACAAGGTCGAGTCGTCGCAGCATCCATACCAACAACGACCTGGTGAAGGGAGTTGTTCACGTCAAAGCACGTATCAAGATCAAACACGTCACCATAAGCTTTATAGGCAAGACAACATGTCGCATCTCTAGCGAACGCAACCCTACAATTCAACATGTTTCCGAGGTGGAGCTGTTTTGCCACGAGCAAACGTTATCGCAGAGACAAACGCCCAGCGCGACCTGTCCACCTTCGCGGATAGAGTACCCGTTCGAGTTTCGGTTTCCGGAAGCAGTCGAAAATGATGCGAAGCTTCAAAACAATGCGCCGTTCAAAAAGGATGCTCTTTTCGAGTATGATAGGTGTCATCCGCTTCCGCCGTCGCTTTGGTGGAATGAGAGTACTATCTGTAACGAGTACTTCCTGCGAGCAGAGTACGTCACGGAAAATGCTTCGTTCACGCTCAATCCTGTCGTCGTGCACCAGCTACGATTCAGTCCCTCAGTACCAGAACAGGGTCTGCTGCCCGTGACCGCACTTGTGCCGGCGCAACCAGTACGGTTCGAGCGCAAGTCGAGATCATCAACCCCAGAACCATACAAGGAGCGACGTGCCCCGCTAGAACGGCTGAAGTCAGGCTTACGTGGCGGAAGCAAAGAAGAAGAGGCTTCTTCAACGTCTTTGTTAGTGCTCAGTTCGCCCTCCAGGTACCGTGTCGGTGCTTCTAGCAAGCTGAAGCTCTCGCTTCAAGCAACATTGAGTGAGGGCGACACACAACCAGCACCCGTGTACCTCCGCGGGATTCGCGCGCAAGCAACAGCGCACATCAACTTCCGCGTCCCACTAGCATCAGCACCTGAAGGGGAGGTACGAAAGCAGAGCATCGAAAAGTTCGACCTCTTCAACCAACGATACAGTAAACCTGGAATAGAGATCACTTCGGACACCATCTTGGAAGGTTTCGAGATCAACAATATTGTGCCCCCAACGTTCAGCACGTACGGCGTAGCACTCCACTATGACGTCAAATATGATCTCCTGCTCGAATGTGTGGGCAAAGAGTCCAAACATGAGGTTGACGTGGACAATGTGGCTATCGAGCCTATGACAAGAACTGGTGGGCATCTTGGTCCACCAGAAGAGCTTCCGCCGGCGAGCGGCTCGGAGGAGAGCTTTGAGTTGGAGCTCATGATGCGGGACGTCGGTTCAAACGGACTTGCAGCAGACCAACCACCGCCGTATCAGAGATAGTCTATACAAAAGTCGTGGCAAAATGTGAATCACATAGCTTATACCACACCGTAATAATTCCGACTGTAAACGTGAATGGATAATCGTGGTCTGTTCTTTCAACGGCGAACTTGTACTAAGCAACGTAAAAGTAGGCAGTAGACAGCCCATCTCCTCACATCCACAACAAAGCCGCTTGAAAATATTTCCTTGGTCTCCCAATCACAGCAACGACCACACTAACATATACTTGATAGTCAAGTCTTTCAGCCCATCACTAGAGTCAATCCTTCCATCATCTTCTTCGTTTTGACACCTGATATCCAGAAGCGACAATGCCTCCAAATTCCGGTCTATACACCTGTCCATGCGGCATGAATGTGGAGGTCTGGCTCGTCGCCGGGGCGAGAAAATGCTCAATGTGTGGTTGGACGTGGGGCATGTATGAAGCAACTTGTTTGGCAGATGAGCGGAGACGAACACATGGAGGCGAACGGAAGGAAAGTGGGGACGAGAAGTAACATGAGCGTCAATGAATGCAGTGGAAGCGTGAAACTCGAAAACATGAATTGAGGAGGAATGGGAATCTACGGCTTAGGAATGAAAGTCAATAGTGACGTATTGAGATTACTATCGTCTCCACGCCCGCGGTTTCCACCATCAGGCCGAAGAATCAAGAAAGGAAAATGTGATATCATACGATCCAACCCAGCTCTCATCATTCCTCTACTGTAATTCAAGGCTTCACACAAGCAACCATAAGCTTCTCATAATCACCTCGGGTCTCCCCTTCTATCCGCTTGACCAGGTCCTTCTTGTAAACCTGCTTGTACGCGTTGCTAACAGCGTTCATGAAATTTCGATCCCAGTGGCAGCGAACGACACGTTGTACGAGTATCTCGTCCTTAGTGCCCAAACCGGCCATCGACTCCTCCAGGCGGACGGCTTCAGCTTCGGGTCGGTTGGTAGCACGGTGCACAAGCAGACGCAGTGCGTCTTCCATGTGTCCAGAGAACGCAGACTTCAGCACACTGTCGAGCGACTTGTGGAATCGTTGCTGGTAGGAGTTCGCCATGGCTTTGAGCTGAGCGTCATTCTTGCTGGTGAGGATCTGGCAAACTTGGGGAACGTTCTTGCTAGCAAAGCCACCCATGCCAGCCTGGAGATCGGTGACGGCTTGCTCGATTTCTTGCGGATTGACAGGGTAAGAATCTTCTGCGCGGCGGGCGGCAACAATCATGTCGTACATTTGCTCAGTTCCGGCACTGAGGTCGCCTTGGAGATCTTTCTGGAGCGGCCTTTTGAATAACTCCTGGTACTTCTGCTTGATGGCATTTATGTCGGCGTTACTTCTCCCGATGAGAATATCGTCTAGGATGACTTCTTTCGTGCCCATGCCTTTCATAGCCTCCATCAGGTTGTAGCAATCAGATACTAGAGGTCCTCGTGCGATTTCAACTAATCCCTTTGCGAAGTAACCACTGGTCTCTTTCTCTAGATCCTGGACCATGTTTCGCATCAGGCGCTGGTCGTACTGTGTCCGGATAGTGTTGATTTGCATAGGATCCTTCTTCGCTAGTGTTGCGATAAGCGCTTTCTCGTCTGTTCCAAATCCCTTCATCGCTTTGCGAACGGCTTCGACGTCTCTGCTAACGTCAATGTTGGCTACCTGCTGGGGACCATAGCCGAGAGAAGGCTGCGTTGGTGGCCCGCCAAAACCGCCGGGCGCACCGAACTGTCCTTGAGGAGGTGGTGCTCCGTACTGTCCTTGAGGTGGTGGTGCTCCAAAGTGACCCTGTGGCGGGGGCGCACCATACTGGCCTGGTGGCGGACCGGGCGGAGGTTGATATTGTCCTGGGGGTGGCTGCTGGCCGTACTGTCCTGGAGGTGGTGGTTGTCCGTATTGTCCCGGAGGTGGTTGTTGACCATACTGGCCTGGCGGTGGCTGTTGATACTGTCCAGGAGCGCCGTAGCCTTGCTGTGGTGGGGGAGCTCCATACTGTCCTTGAGGCGGGCCGCCATACTGGTTCGGTGGCGGCGCACCATATTGACCTTGCGGTGGTTGCTGGCCGTAGCCTTGCTGTGGCTGGTAGCCACCGTACTGTTGATTTTGCATTGGTGGCGGTTGATGATAGCCTTGCTGTGGAGGTTGTTGATATTGTTGATGCTGACCGTACCCTTGGGGCGGCGGGGCTTCTGTAAGATATTAGTACAGGGTCAGGAATCAGCGCCAAGTCTCGCAAGCCATGAAGGATGCAACGATCGTCGGGCTGTGAGGTGAGGGCCTGACGACTTACGGCCCGGATACGGCTGCTGATAACCGCCTGGTTGGTTGTAGTTGTAGGACATTTCCAGCTGTGATTCCGGCAAGGTGTTGCAGGAGTAAGCGCTGAGAGCAGGTAAGATCGATGTGCGACCCGGACAAGGCAAGTGATTTGGAAAGGAGAGGGGGAGAGATTACTGCCTGCTCCCTAAAGAATGGTTGCGCCAGAAGTCATAGTGGCTGAGTTTACCGCTCAGCCCTGCCAGTGGTGGGGTAATGTCAAGAACTAGTTTGGCTCATATGACGAACAATCTCCTTGGCATTCATCGGCCATTGAACTTAGTCGCTGGAATGCGAACACCTGCCGTGTGGTTGGTAAGGCGGCCATTGTCGGATGCCCAACTGACGTTGGCTCCATGTTAGCGGAGTCGTTGCTCGTGGCGATGCACGCTAATAAGGAAGGAAAAAAGACATGTCGCCGCAACACAGCCTCTGAAGTGCAACAATGGGCGAATCAATTCATTCGAAGTTGGAATCGTACGGTAATGAAGCCACATACACCATTGATAAGCTTGTGGCTCAGCTATATTTCATAAGAACAGACTTATGCTGCGAAGGCCATCTACGCGCCATGCGCTTTGCAAAGTCACTACAGCGTCGGATGCCATGCTTGCACAAAGAATAGCGTATGCAAGACATGCATTTCACGCATCTGTTCATATTTGCATCGTTATGATCGTGCGATAGCCCCTTGTGGATACCCCTGACGGACTCTGAGCAAAGCGCTGCGGCGTAATTGTTGGTAAATGTTATTATATCCTCTTCAGAGTGACTAAAGATACGATGATATGTAAGCGCTTTCCGCAGTATCGCTTCATAAGGTCACGATGCGCTTCATTAGCCGTCACGCTGGCGCACGGTTGTGCCAAGCTTATGTCACGTCGCGGCTTCGAGAAAACGATCGGCAACCCTTTCGTCTCTCCACCAACAACATCGGATTACTGCACACCATCTTAGATCGCTAACGCCAGGCACCCCGACGTTAAATCCAGGCTGCCGGTGAAGCTTCGGCTAAGAGCGTGACATCATAGCACGCAGTCCACGTTGCCCCTCATGTTTTCGCCTTCGATTGCACAGGACGGATATTCCTTGGCAGCCAGAATGGATCTTGGGTGAGCACTAATTGGTGAGGAGGGCCCTCCAGATCGCATTAGTTCACCGCGGAAAGACTTAGTTCGTGCATGTGCACATAAGGCTCGGTGAGAGAAGTGGACCGATGGAGGCGCGCGATGGAGTATAAAAGCCAAGGCAGCCGATCAACCTATTAGGATATTAAATATATTAAGACTATTGGGACCACATGTTCGAGCTGTGATCGTTCTGAAACAAACAATCTATCCGTTATCGACACCTAATCCTGTATTAGGAGCACCACAGCCAGCCGCATACGACATCCAACGTTGCCGATCGCCAAACCTTGAAACAGGGCCAAGGGCATACAGCGCAGGGCCACAGCCAGTATCATTCGATTGGAAACATAAAAGATATCATAACCCGTGCATGGGAAAATCCCGCCATCTACCAATCCACTATCCACGAAACATCACCATGTCTTCCTACGACTCCACCAGATCAGGATATCCACCACATCCACAATATCCACAACAACAGCCGCCTTACCCTACCACGCCTGGGGTGCCACTACCGCAGCAACCCACAAACTACTTCTCGCCAATCCCCGAACAACAACCCATATACTCATCCTCGCCAACCACCCCCTACAACAGCGGCGCAATGACATCAATGCCACAACCTCACATACCATCCCACCGGCGCACTTCCTCGTCTTCCTCTTACAACAGCCAGCGGCCGACGCATCTCCAACCCAGCTCTCCGGCCATCGCCATTCGTCAGCCCAACCCCCAGATGTACCAATATCCCGCCTCTCAGGCCTCTACATCCTACCCGCCGCCCGTCACCTACGCACCCCAGGCCGCTCCCGTCTATGCACGCACCTCCTCGCAACAAAGCCACTACTCCCATCATAGCACGCACGCACATAATGCACATGCGTATGCGGATGGCGAAGATAAATACGAGGACGAACATCATAGACATCACGATCAGCATTACGGGGAGTTAGATCCTGAGACAGAAAGGGAGTACAAGAGGAGATATGCGAAAGACAGGGAGTTGGAGAGAAGACCGACGCTCGGAGGCAGTCTATTGAGCACGATGGGAAAGATCGGCGACTTATTTGGGGGGAACAGGCGATGAGATTGGTGATGGGTTTTTTGGAATGGTGATTTGTAAACCCTGGTGGTTTTTCGACTGTGATACCCATAGTACCTTCTCTTCTTTTCTCCTTTGTTGAATTCTCGTTTTGGAGTATATGTACAATAGTTCGATCGCCAGTCAGGCACGATGACACAATGATCTAAGACACGAAACATGATTCTCAGAAACGGAAAACGTGATGCGGGAATGGCGTATCTTATTTAAAGCCAATGTATGCACAGGTATCGCCATAGGCATATCTTCAAAAGCCTCTCGTAGGAAAAAGTAGATGAAACGCTGTCATACGCCAAGTAGTAATGCAGCCGATATAACCTCAAAACAGAAACTTTTCGTACTTCAGCGCTTGAAGCCGATTTGAAAATGCTGGTGTTGTACCAACACATGTTCCGTGCCCACGCTGCTTCCTGTTCTCCATGCCAGCGTTGGGGCAACACCAGAAACGATTCGACGTTGATAGTCTGGCTGCCAGTGCTGCGTCTCACAACTACGCGTGTACGCAACCCACTAGCTTGTACCCCCCGGAAGCTGTATTTCCTCACACGCGACTCGAATCGGCATTATCTGATGCCCGCCGCGCAACTCCCTATTGCCCATTTCCTTTGCAGCTCAATGCGGTGTATACTATATGTGAACACGGTTGTGTGATGTGGTGTGATGTGGTGAGCTCGGTCGGACGATTCGCAGGGATTGTTCGTTCAGTTGTATGTCTTGCCGATGTGGCGCTCGCTCTCAGGCTTCCAGGTACCTATTGCTAGTCAGTACTGAGGCAACCAGGGACTTGAGGCGAGTGTAATCGAAGGACGGTTGCATCTCGGTGGCTTGTACTGCGTAGCACGATGGAGCGTGATACGACGGTACGCTCGGATGCTCGATAAAAGAAAAAAAACTACATACCTTCAAAGTTGTGTTTCACATAGGCCATTGGGTCGTCATCCTCGCCAGCACCCATGGTCTTAATGCCGGGGCTGAAGCTTGTGATGGGCAAGACAATAACATCACCAACCTTCTTGGGCGCCTTCATGCCGGTAAAGTTTTCCCATGTAATGTTACCCTTGCTTGTGCTCATATCGAAGTAGTCGGGGTTGTTGAAGTAGTCGAAGATGGTATCGGTCCAGACAGCGGGCCCGGTAAACTCGATGATGCCTTTGTAGTCTTTGCTGAGCTTGCCCGCGTGCTTGCGATTAAGTGTCTCCTGGGTGATGTTTGTAACAACATCAACAAGCACGGGATGGCCAGGCTTCGACTGAATAGTCCACTGGCAGAATTGGACGCGGCGGGAGTACCACTGGGCCCAGTCCGGGCGATCTGGGTCAGCCTCGATGCCGATGACCATTCCGTAGGTGTTCGCGGGTACGTCAGAGGGTATCCAATCCGACGCAGGCTTCAATGCCGAAGTGTCGATATCCGAGTAGATGCCGCCACGGGCAAGGAGGATAAGGTAGCGGAAAAAATCGGCTTTCAGCACGGGGACAGGGAGAGCGTTGTAGGCTTCAATGACGTCAGGAACAGAAGAATATAGATGTCTGATCAGGTGTACTGCGACATTATCGGTGATGACCTCATGGACGAAAGACGGGTGGTGGATGCTCCAGCTGGCCTCTGGCTCGCGGAACATCTCCTCAAACTCGCCCTGTGCCGGTGTGTACTTCCATGTCTGCCAAATGTATGCGGGCGTCTTCGCGTCGACATCATAAGGGAACTGGTATTCGAGCTGTTCCTTGAGTGGGCGCTTCCTCAGCTCGTCCATGCTGATTTGGGTTTTGGGCTTTTTGGGCGCTGGCGCATCGGGCGTATCGAAGGTCTTTTCCGCCTTCGCTGCGGTCTTCTCTGCGGCCTTCTGCGCCTCTTTCGACTCCTTCTCCTTGAGCTTCGCGCGCTCCCTGTCGGATGGGTTCACCCAGGCGGTCGGCCTGGGCATTTCCTTTGCATTGCGGAAGTTGGGAGCTGTGCTACCGTGGTGCTGCGACTTGAAGATGAAGAATAGCGTCAAACAAGCCAGGGAAAGCACAAGGGCTTTCTTGAAGGTAAGCATGGTGGCCGGCGCGGTTGAAGAGCCTGGCGAATGATGGGGAGGGGACGGGTCCTCGGTGAGTGAAGGGTGACCACAGGTGGAACTCGATAGGGCCTAGGTGGGAAGATATAGTCTCAGAGCGGACGCCCTTGTCGTAGTTTTGAGGTACAAGGTGGTATTCGACGCTCTGGCTCGGGGAAGGGTCGACCTTATCGGCGAGAAAGGGCTAGCGGTAGTGGTAGTGAGAAGGAAATGAGAGGTGGAACGCGCAATTCACGGACACGAGGGGAGAACGAGCGACATCGAGGACAAGGGAGGCTGCAGAGGCTATGAGAGGCATGGGCGGCGGCGATAACCACGGGCTTTTTGAAAGAGAACCCCCAAAGGGCCAAAGCCAAGCAGGGGTGCTCCGAGTTTCACGTTCGCAGGCACGCTAGACAGCTAGCGTGCCTGTCGTCGACGAATGTTCCATGGCCGACTCAACATCGCGGCAAAGCTTGTTCCAAATCAGTTGGCGCACCGAGCCTCGTCTTTCTACACGCCCCTCAGCAATCCTGGTTTCATTACGACGCTGGGGCGATCTTTCACGCTTTCCACGCCTCTCGTGTATGCCGAGTGGAGAGCCTGCTCATGACAAGTATACCTCTTCTCACCTCATCACTACCTGAGTAATCCCGTCCACTCACGCCCTAGCTGGGCGGCGACATGGGGCAATGCATGGCAACGGTGACGAACGCCACCTTCACATCGCAGGAACATCTAGGAATACAATCGTCCTTCCTCCCAGGATTTGTGATGCTTTAACGCAGCCGGTTCCAGATGCCGTGGTGGCACTACGATTGTTACACCCGTTATTGCTTCGAAGCTTGAATCTGGGCCGCCTTGGTTCTACGTTGTCCAGACGCGCGTTGACTGCAGACTCGGAAGGAACTAGGTGAAACGCCGCGTCCTACCTCTTGCAGCATAGCCCTCCCGCGCCATCTACTGCCGCTTGAACTTCGTTGGCTGACGACCTGCACCGGGCTGCACTCTTCTCTATAGACATGTGTAGCTGCATCAACTCACGCTTGGTTGCTGTGGGACCTATCTGGCTAAGCTCATGACTACGGCACGCTTCTGCACTTCGAACGCTTACTGGTGGGAGTCTCGACCTGCGTCTCATCGCGATGATGAAGCCGCGAGTTTATCGACCATCACCACGTCATTGACACTTTATCTCGGTTCCACCCTCCCCGCCCGCGCGGCTTGGTAGAATCGCCCCGCCTCTCGGATCAGAGTACTACACCTACAAATCCTTAAACTCGCTGTTAGGAGCAGAACAAGAATTGTTGCCCTTTGATGTAGTGAACAGGGCATGCCCTCGGTTGAGAGATAAGGCCATGGTGAATACGAGGCAGCAATGCCAACACCTTCCACGAATAGCGACTCCGGCAAATCCGTTGTTGAGGCTATAGCACCCTTGTAACGTCTACACTACGCGGGTGGCTTGCTATCGTCATCTCACAAACTAACACGCCTCCCTCTTATGGACAATGGTCCGCCGGCTCTACGCATCACTTTCAAGCGCAGACGCTTGTACAAGGACATGACGACGTCTGCTTACCAAAGTAATTCTACAGACATCCTAGAACAACGGCCGTGCAAAAGCAAGAGCGCAACAATTGTGGCTTTGCGACAGTATCAATACCGACTTTGGCAAATTACCCTTTCAAGATGTCCACCCGGATCTGATTGCCTTTTCCCCATACCAAAACTCCAGTCTTCGGTCACTTGCTTACCCGTAACGTACGCGTCAGCTTCTTGACCTCCAATTCTTGTCAGCACAAAACGTTACAGCCTCGTGTGTCACGGTTTCAGATACCCGCTGGGAACAGTCTTTTACCGAAGCGCTCCGTTCCTCGGCTGGGCCTACCCGCAGTCAAGTCTTGGGTTCGAAAAGCAAACAATCGCGCGCATCGCTGCCGTTCATGCCGTTTAGAGTTCACGGTTTCTGAAGCGGGAGAAGCAAAACGTAACGTCTTGGAACTAACAGTACCCGGAATTAGAATGTGTTACAGTGTATATTGCGCAATGTCAGCTAATAGACAAGCGATTGACCCATACAGCACCTTTCTCCATGCTATAGCTGCATGCAGTATGTGGCTGTGCTACCTCGGAAGTTCCGCATCGACTACAAGAAGTAGCATCTAAATCCAGACCGACCGTCGATACTAGGACAGCAGTCCAAACCCCGCAGTCTATGAATAGTAGCGTTGGCTGTGCACAGCCAATTTCGTCAGCGCTCCTCAGCTTCAAATTGCGCGTCGCTGGCTCCAGCATCATGAAGTACCAAGAATAAATGGATTCCTCCATGGTCGTAAAAGAGCCACCATACCCAACCATGCTTGTACGGTGTATGACCGCACGTACCCATCCACTGCTTAACTCGGGAGGCACCTGCGTTAGCGAGTCAGCTAGTACAAAATGTGGGTATGCGATCTTCATTAGCCCTATCTTGTCGATACGAGGAGTAGTTTCTCAACAATCATCAAAGTGTCGACGCTGATTAAAGGGGTTCAGGAGATTAAGGTTATGAATAGTCGCATTGCTGCTCGATGTCATTTCTATCGGGTATATCGGCACACATATGTCAGCGGTAGTCATCCTATATCCTTGAATACTGCCTTTCAGTTTTGAACGCTGCATCACAGCTAGAAAGGTAGAAGAATCAACGGACAATTGCATTGAATACGTATTCCATTCGATTCAGACCACCCTCTCGCCAGAAGCTCCCCATCCAAAGTCAATGCGACACCAGGCGCCCTCGCCTCGTTTGCGGATGCCCTGGATGTCCATGCCAACAAGTCTAGCGACTTTTTCTCTATTCACCCACTCCGCCACCGCATGCCCGGTTTCCTGTGGATTCAGACGCCATTTGACACCTTCCTTGTCTTTGTTGTCCCTTAGCCAGCGGAGTAATTGCACTGGTACAATACCCGCAGGCATATTCTGTAGACTTTGACTGTCGCTTGGGATCCAGCCTTGGAAGAAATTAACGTAGGTTATACGGCGCCAGGCGTCGTTCCAATCTGGACCGGGTATTCCAGTTTGTGTGTTCCATTCCGTATTTGTATTTGTATCCGTTGCTGTGCGGCCGGGATGCGATGTCAACGCCTTAAGCCAGTTACAGCCTTCTAAGTCGAGCCACTGTAGCGAGTATGTATCTTTTGAAAAGCGACGTAAGATGTTGGTAGCTTCATGCCAGTCATCGTCGAGATCGGAATAGAAGTGTGAGCCTCCTAGTGAAACACTTGTTTGTTGGGAAACCATCGATGTGGTGTTGGCATTTGGTGTCATTGTGGGACGGGGCCAATGAGCGAGGGAGAGATGTGTGATCTTGTTGAGGTTCGGCGAGATGCGAAGCAGATCGGGCCATGACGCCCATTGCCCAGGATGGGCAAGAGACAGTCGGCTTAAGTTGTTGAAAAAGGGAGTTTGGAGCTTCATCGCTGGTACCGAGGGAATTGTCACGCTCTCTTGAACCTCCTCTTCCCAGGACTCGGCGATTTCGTCAGTGACGCGAAGGGCCGCAACATCCATAGTGGCAATAGCACTAGGACGCTTGACGCATTTTCCAATATCGTTGATCTTGAAGCGTTCGCTCAACAATCCGCCGAGATCGAGGAATTGGACTTCCTCCCATCCTGTTGTACCAGTGCCCTCTTCATCTTGGAACAGGATTCTGAGCGACTTGAAGTCTAGGCTTCCCCTCTCTCCGTATAATGTCAAATAACTCAACAGTGCTTCTTTCAGTGAGGTCGGTAGGGATGTTATGTAGTGCTGTTCGTACTCGATGAGCTCTTCCCAATTTTGGGTAAACGACCGTAGACAGTAGTGGATGAGGCTTCGCGGCGGTGGCAGGCGCTGTCATGAGTAAGAAGCCTGCATTGGACGATTAAGCCTTGAAGACCCAGTACGAAGGAGCTCGTTTTCATGAGTAGTTCCCTGGACACCAAAACTTGCGCCAAAGGTATACTCTGAAGAGCTCTCCCGTATGCTAGCCACGTTTTGGGGAGCGCCGTACCTTGTATTCTTGATTGGTCACTGTGGCCAGCGTTCCAAACCTCACGGCCCCTTTGTCTGCCTCAGCTTTCCTCTTTCTCGTATATGCTGGTGCATGGCGACTCGTCTGCAACCAGCTCGTAGGTGCGGCAGGACCTGGGGGCGGTCTCACGCCGCCCATGACCCTTCGCGCCCGTGTGTTGGCCTTTGGTTTAGGAGCATTAACTTCGGGTATGTGCAATATGCGCCGCAGCTCCGGCGGGACAGTACGGCTGCTTACTACCGATGTGAGCTCATCTCGCTGTTCGGGCGTTGCTCTGGGAGCTTGTTCGCGACGCAGCTGTTGTATGCGCTGGTTGACGGTTTGGGGCTCAGACGACGACGAAGAGGAAGCGGGGGAGCGCGAACTCTGCAGCGACGGGTGGACGTAGGAGGGTTTGGCAGTCGTGTACGAGGGGGTGTGCTTCTTGGGCATGGCACCGAGCGAGGGCTGCTGCTTCCAAGGTCGTGCGCGTCGAGGCGGAAGCTGTCTGGTACGCTATATGAGTGATTCCAAGGTGAGCGGGGGATCAAGGCTGGTGAGTCAAACGGCTATGACTGGATCAAAGAAGACGCCCCAATGCTACAAGCCCTGGGAGGATGTTTACAAAGCAGCGACGATGGAGTTGTGTGACTCAATGCGATGCATGCGCAGTGCAGCGGGCATGAGATGTCGACTTCACCATGTTCGTCATCGCGCCACTTCGGCTGTGGCGCGCCAACATGCGTGCGCACGTGTTACAGCGACTATGGCATCTTGACATGAATGTGGTGAGAGGCGGTCGTGGTCTTGGGTGCAGGAAAGCGCGCAAGACACCAAGCAGTCCTGTAGACTCGGCAATCTTATCATGAAACAAAACAATATGGTGTTGCCAAACGTCTGCCAATTACCGAAGGATGAAGCGGAGTCGCAGCCGTCTGTCACTGTCACGCTAGAGAGGCGCCAGGAGCCAATTCCATCGGTTCAACCCGTCGTGCCTCGTCCCTAGAATTCTCCTATCGATCCTTTGAAATGAAGAGCAATGACATGACTGACCACCATGGCACCCACGTGCGAGTACCGCCGACATGACCGAGTGGCACCGAGTCTGCCATGTCACTGTTTACTTGTTTCCCCTATTGACTCGGCATTGATGGCCTTCATTTATTGCGTCCTCAGCGGCAGCCATGGCAATCTTGCGCGTCGTCTTAGTTGCCGTCACCGCCACCAGCTCCAGCAGCAGTTGCAAGCATCGACCCACGCACATGCTGGCCTGCTAATTTTATCCTTCGTCAGCCACGGCAGATCCTCGTAAGGCAAGATCCGCCGTTTTGGTGGACCCTCAGCTCCGGCCACTCAAGCCGCCTCATCTTGAGCGCGCGTCGCTCCTGTCTTTTTTTCCCCATCTCTCCTTCTGTTTGTCCACCACAAACACTGACGATGACATGACCTGCCCCCCGGCCCTACTTTCGTTTCCACCTTCACTTTTCGATTAGCGATGCGATAATACCCTGGCCCCATCTTCACTCTCCTTCACTACCCGCACATGATGCATTTCTCGCCCTCACGCCTTGTCATAGGCATCGCCGTCTTTGTTGCCGTGAGCTTCTTCTACACAATAAACTCGATATCAGCACGCGACCCTACATCCGTCTTCTTCAACCCACGAAAAGGCTATGCCCCCCGCTACTCCGCCATCAGACGACAGCAAGCCGAGTCCTTTATTTCGTCCTACAACCCCGCCAACGTGACCAAGGCTGGTGGTGAGAAGCAGCGAAAACTATGCGTGGGTATACCTTCATACCAACGGGACGGCGCTCAATACCTGCCGGACGCTGTAGGCTCGTTGCTCGACGGTCTTACGCCCGAAGAGCGGCAGGAGATATACCTGATCGTCTTCATACCGCACTCGAACCCCGAAGCGCATCCTGCACACAACGAGGAGTGGTTGGCCGGTCTTGCCGATGAAGTACTGACCTACGGATATGGCTTCGACCGCATGCAGTACATTCGTATCATGGAAGCACGAAACAACTTTTTGGAGAAGGGTCTTTTTGACTACCAATATCTGTTGGACAAGTGTACAGAGAAATTTACGCCTTATGTGGCTCTATTCGAAGACGATACCGTAGCCGTGGATGGTTGGTACCACCGTACTCTCTCTGCCATTCAGGAAGCAGAGCAACAGGCAGCGTTGCAGCGGGCGAAACCCGACTTCCTCTATCTGCGCCTCTTTTACACCGAAGAGTTCCTGGGCTGGAATGCTGAGGAGTGGAGAACATACCTGAAAAACTCGGCATACGTGGCCATGGTGCCAACCATCGTTATTCTCTTCTTTCGGTTCGCACAGCCGACTACGAAACTCACCCTCGCCCTTGTGACACCCCGCAGCTTCCTGGCAATGTACACCATACTTGGCATATTGATTCTTACGTATTTCGGTCTCGGTCGCATTACTGTCCAACCCATGGCTGTCGGCGTCCATGAAATGCCTCGTTTCGCCTGCTGCAGCCAAGCCTTCGTTTTCCCTACCGTCAAAGCTGGCGAACTCGTTGATTACTTCAAAGAGCGCCATCTCGGTTACATGGACGTCATCACGGAGGACTTCGCCAACGAAAGAGGAGAGCTGAGATACGCAATCACCCCTCCCCTAGTTCAGCACGTGGGGAGGAAGAGTTTCCACGGCAACGATATTGGCCCCATGAGCAAGTGGATGTTGAGTGTAGCCGAGAAGACGTGGAGTTTTGCGTTTGAAAAGTTCGATTGGAGAGCGTTGAAGAAGGAACATGAAGAAGTTGCGAGAATGAGGGATGAAGCGAAAGACATCGCTGCCGCTGGACAGGAAATATAGATTTGGGACTTGCGTAATGACTTTACTAGATCACCGATATGTTAGATATACCCATGAATTTGCCAATGTATTTTGTCTTAACAATTCTTGATATCCTTCTTATCTCCTGTGAATTGTCTGCATGTTGAGACCTCGACCACCTTCTCATGCATATTTTCAAGGCAAATAGAACCGGTTGTTAATTTATTATAGTAGGATCCTGAGATATAGAGATTATGTGTTTAAAACAATATTTATATAAGAAAAAACTTTAAGGAGCATAATAATAATAAAGAGTCTAAAATATAAGTGTCGCAGGTAGACACTCGTCTTCTCTTTTTTATCGAAGGTAGCTATATCCCCTATGCAGTCTGATGCTACAGCATCACAACATAAAGATGCGAAGAGAGCTGGAGATGTCTTCGAACCTATACAACAACCTGTGTCTGCTGTCTTCGGTTCTCATGGTAGGGTCTAATTCCAAACACTCACGTAGCCGGTTCGTTGCAAGTCTGCGCCTTCTTCTCTTCGCCATCTACAGGTTTGTATTCGGCTCCAATCATCTTCGCCAACTCCGAAATGTTGGTATGATCGACCGTATTCTGCATGCGGTACATATACTCGCATTGGCCATCTATGCACCATCTCTGTTAGTACCATAGTTGAGAAGGTACAATACAGCCAGTATCTAGTGATACTTACCGGCAGACAAAACCACCTCACCACCATTCAAGGCTTTTGGTCCCACAGAGTTCACATGCTGCAGATTCCCCAATGCGCCCTTGATGCCACCAAAGATCCTGGACATCGTACTACCCGCATTGCGCATGTAATCTCGCTGTTCATCGCCAGCTTTCCCTTCAGCTAGGTTCGACTTGAACTTGAAGAGCTTGTGTAGGCGGAGTGTTGGGTCAGTGTAGATGGGGTACTTTGAGGATGAGTTGGTAGCATAGGTGTCAATGGGCTGGTAGGAGCCGCATCCTACAACAAGGACTGGGTGCTATATGTTAGTTGAAACTATCTTAGTTTTCCATTGGTAATGCGTACTTTGAGTATTAGCAGGCAGGTTTGATAGTGGTATAGATTCACTGATACAGCGAACATACGCTTGACAGTTCAGACACCCTGCAGATGTCAGTGCTCCATCCTCTTGTATCCCAGTCTTAGTCTCTTTGACAGTTTCCAGTAGTTGACGACCCTTACACATGATGTGGGCCCAGGGCTGTCACTAGTCATATCACCCAACACTTACAGAAATGCCGGATAAATACCAACACAGTCCTCTGCCCTTTGACAAGGTCACCTAGCGCCTTGGTCTTGCCGTCTCGGTCGTATACATCAATCTTCAGCGCTTCCGACAACTCCTCTGCTGTAGGCAATTTACGTGGGCTATCAACATCGGGAGTGTCGGCAGTGGAAGGAGCCATATCGTATAGCTCAGCTACTGATAGTGGGTCTTGGTTGGAAGTCTGCGGTGTTTGGTAAAGCTTTGTTGGCCAGCTATTCCAACCTCTTGCTGTTGACGATGACGATTACAGGAAAACGAGCGGCGTGGCTTTGAGCTACCGGCTAGGCTAGCGTGGATGTGATGTAGCGCCATCGCCCACTCGCCCAGCGCGCCCAAACCCGTTTTCCCAGCCTTCGAAGTTCGTCAAATTTGTCTCATACTACTGTGTCGCATATTCGTTCCAGGTGGAGAATAGAAGAGTTTCTAATTGAATGGCTACGTCGTACATGTACATCAAGCGCCAGTCTGCTTGCACCGCTGCTTGATGAACACCTTCTCCGCTATGGCAGAGGATAGCTGCTTTCCGAGATCGAAATAGAGAAAACGAGAGGAAGTCAAGGAATGAGAGATGATAGGAATTCATGTCGTCAAACGATGCCATAAGCCCGAATCTTCTCGCACTGCGCGGCATGATCTGCTTTTTGCCCACGGGGATCTACTATGTACCACGCATCGACGGCCGGTCCATGGTCCTACACCTGAGGATGTTCCACATTGCGGCCATCGATGCACATGGTGACCGTACACCATGTGCCTTCAGCAAAGCTACTCGGTGATGGTTTTCGAGCGCAGTAGGGCGGCCTCTGCCGTTGACCTATTTTCCTGTGGAGAATCGTCCGCCAGACGATTACCACGTCACTACCCACAGACTTCTAGTGAAGTCGTATTCGGACTTTCACCAACCCGATGTCCATTCCATTCGTACGTTTACCAGCCACCCTGCCTATTTTGTCACCGCTGCTCGGATGACAGACGAGGCGATCACCTTTCAAGCTTTCTTCAAGCTCAACTGTCATCTGTTAGCCGTTAGCGTGGTCCTAATTATGGAGCAACCAGCCGATAGCTGCCCATGAGGCCTCGCCGGAATGCTTCCGAACTATCGAAAAAGACCCTCGAACCACGGGACACCCCTCGTGTCAAGCGAAGCATCGTCATGATAGTCGCTCATACGACTGTGCCTCGTATTGCGGCGCAAGAAGAGCCGAATGTCGTAAAATTCCAGCTCTTCAGCCAATGAGCGTCAAATCGCCGCTCCGGGAGCCTCATGGTTGCCACAGCATGGATCGAAAGCTAAGCAAGGTCGTGCTGATTTGTGCCTTCTCCGAACATCCGGTCACACTCGGGCTATGCCATCAATTGAGAATGATATCCTCACGGCTGTGTTCACGAAAGTTATATAGCCCAGCCATCGCATCGTCGACTGTCTTCACCCGTTTCTTCCACCGACAGTCAAACACAACTACCAGCAATTCCTCAACACATCCTACAAACACCTTTTTCACACGAAGCTCATACGAACAATTGCCAACATGCTCTCCAAAGTCGCCGCTATTGCGTTGATGCTGTCGGCTGCGACCGCATCTCCTACTTTCCGCGCGCGCCAGGACGACAAATGCGTAACTGCCTACGACGCGTGCGTCGCTGCGGGCACTGCTGAAGTCATATGCTCATGCGATCGGACCGCTTGTTACGGTGAAGACGCTGCTCGCATCCGCGAATGGTGCTCCTCCCAGATTGCTGCTCTGCCCAAGTCGACTTCAGCTGCTACTCCAGTCGCTTCAAGCATTCCTGGTGGCTGCAACCCGGCTCATCCAGGTTCATGCCCGTCTTCGTACTTCGATACCACTACTGCGGCTCCTGCCGCTACCTTTACGTCCATCTCTGGTATCCCTGGTGGCTGCAACCCCGCTCATCCCGGCTCGTGCCCTTCTTCTTACTTTGACACAACCACCAAGTCCCCCGCCGCGACCTTCACATCCATCCCTGGCATTCCAGGAGGTTGCAACCCTGCCCACCCTGGATCGTGCCCTACACCATCCGCCGTCGCATCCCCTGTTGCAACAGCAGCACCGGGCTCCAACCCCAAGCTTGTGGAGGGCAAGACCTGGACCATTTCGGACCTAACTCGTTACTGTATTGAGGGCAACTCCGGCTGCGACTACAACTTCGCTATTACCGCAGACGGCAAGACCGAGCGCTGCACTGTTATCCGCATGCCTGGCTCCAACGCTGCTAGTGAGAGCTGGTCCAACCAGCCATGCACCACTGGATCTGACTTGACCATCTCTTGGGGATACGTTGCGCAGCCCGCTCCTGCTTTCGCTGTCATCACAGTCAACAAGGGTGCTGAGCTTGCTTGGTTCGGTGTGTCAGATATCAATGGCGGAAAGGTTTCTCCTAGCAGCCCCTTCGGCTCTGGTGACTTCGGCACTCTTCCCGCCTCGCCTGTCTACACCTACAACTAGAGGCTTTTGATTTATGAATTATGAGAAGAAGACGATAGACCTAATGTAATATGCATATCGGGGTTCATGTAATGGCTTTCAAAATATAGATTCAGCAATTCAAGTGTATAATAAAGACGTTGAGTTCAAATCAATACACACAGCTTCTACTAGGTTGACTTGTTGTGTCTTATCATCCTGGGACCACTGCCTGTTGCCCTTTCTCTTCCAACATGACCATATGTGACAGACGAAGACGTAATCTCGAGGTAGTTTTGGAAGAGATACATGAACACCAATTAGACCAGGTTGTGAGTATGTCGAACTCGGTCAATTTCTACCGCATACTATGGTGCCCTGAAACACGGTACACTAAGCAATACGCGGAGCTAGTATTCAGTTGAATGAAAGATCTGTGTATGTAGACTGAATCCTATCAGTGGAGACTACAGTGAGCCGATAGCACATCATCTTTAAAGCGCATCTCTCATCTCTTGGTGGTTTGGCATTGCTAAACGCCCTTGATTATTGTCCTACATTATCCTAGCCTGCCTTCTTCAGTAGAACACCTACAGCTAAGTCACTGTGCTCTAGCATTACAGCCTGAATCTCCGCCTTGCATACGAGTGAGTCGTGGTCAGAGACGGTCTTGATGATGACGTCTCGCAAGCCTCTATCCTCGGCTATGGTCGTAGAGAAGGCATGTTTGATGGCAATGGGAAATGCCTCGTCGTCCCAAAAAGCTAAGCAAGCAAGCGCGAAGTTTTTGCATGCCAGCTTCTTGAGTCCAGTGACCTCATATTTGTCGGCAATCTCGTACATCTTCGAATGACTGAGGAGCTGTGAAGGTGATCCGGGAACTCGTAATAAACAGCATTCATTGCAGACAAATGCTCGGCATGTGGAATTGCAATAGATAGTGCAGAGGTGGTGTGCGCACAAACGCCGATCGTTACATACATTATCTAAACAGGTATGGGGGAAATCATGTGTATAGATGAGACTGTACATAGGACACCAACCTGGGATTCGCCTAATAACCATGTTCGACGCGTCGTGTAGTTTCGTATGCTCAGGGTCCAGGTTTCTCAAGACGTCTTCACTGTATGTGCCTGAGTATAAGTATTTCACGAGAGAAGTGATAGTTGTGGGTTCGTCCTTAGGGAGATTGATGACGTTCTCTTGAGCCTCCTACTTGTTGTCAGGTTTTATAACATAAATTAAAAAACCTTCGTTACCTTGCCACCGAATTTGATAGCTCGAGCGAAGAAACCTGCACGTGTGCACACGACAGCTTTGTGGACTTTGTAGACGTCATCGCCGCATTGGATAGTCAGATCTGAATATTCACCCGAAGTGAGACAGCTGTGAGAGGGGTCAGCTCTTTCGGTGGGGCCACAAAATTGCGGGAGGCTTGCCTCTCGACTGCATCTACGACCTGAAGACGTGAAGCTCTCGCCATTTTTGAGAGTGGAGGTGACGACCTATCTGAGTATGGGGGTGACGAACTATTTGAGCGTGGAGGTGACGACGTGTTCGGCCATGGAGGTGACGACATATCTGTAGTGTAGTACGAGGTCGAGTGTCTGTGGGATGTTGAGCGTACAAGGCAAGCTTTCTGTCCAAGTCGAAAGTGAAGGTGAGTGCAAGCACGGACCGCCTTGCTCCCGTTGACTATAGACCCTGATATTGTGACGAGTTCATATCTTGCTGTTTCCAGAAGTCACAAGACTAGTATCTACATCACCATTGTTGCGCAAGTCAACCAAAAAATCATCCAGAGTTGACCAGTTCATTGGCTCTGGAAACTCGAAAGACGCCAGGTCCATTACATCATCCGGTGGACCTAGACTAGCATTGAACTCGTCCCAGTCGAAAGAGTTCGCATCGTTTGCGTTAGGAATCTCTTGAATGTGATCCTCGATCGTGCTTTCCTCGTTACTCCAACTCATTGCCGGCAGGGCTGTGTTGGTGATGGCAGAGTTGGTCAGATCTGGATGACGGCGTTGCCGCTGACGCTGACGTATAAGCTCAATAAAATGAGGTTCAGAAGTACATAGCGCGCCCTGCGTTGCTTTGTAGGCGCCCCAAGCTTTGATCGTGAGGTTGTCAACGGCTATAGGAAGTGCTCGCTTCGAGAGATCCCTATCGAAACTAGGGTGGAAAGTGTAGCTCTTTTCAATTTCTGCCCAAGCATTATCTACCTTCTCTCCTCCAGTCCGATGACGGAGCTCAGAGATAAGGTATATGAAAGCCTTCCACTGGAAATTTAGGTTGACATGCCACCTAAAGCCACGCAGCTCCTTCGTAGTGTATGCCAGGTTCTGCGAAGTCGCGACCTGGAGAGCCAGATCAAATAACATGTCCTTTTCCTTAGGAGAGATATCAACGTTGTAAGAGTCGGTGCTGTGAGCCATGAACCTCATCATGAAGAGGACAGACTTGGCGAGATGCATACATAGTAGGTGCCAAGGTATGGATAGGTCGCAATAACGTAGGAATTTCCGCTGGAAAACATTTTCGAGTTCATTGATGGCTTTGTCTTTGGTAGCCACTTGTACCGCGCTTGTGCTGAGTCGGTGCCAAAGACCATCAAAAGTAGTATGGTCTTCCGCTGATCGCTTGAGAAAATCTCCAACGTGGCATCGAATAAGGAAAAACATCATGTCGGTTGCGCCGTCGTGTTCCCTTGGCATCTCCTTCATTCCTGGGAATAAGTCGCTGTCATTGATGTTGGATGGCATTCCGACGTCGCCTCGGAGGATCATACCAGATGTGCCAGTTCCAGCGAGCTTCTGGGAAGAGCCTTCGAGCACCATGATCTGCCACCAGAGGCGCCTACGAATCTCTGCTTCGAATGGCGGTAGCTTTAGAGTGTCGCCATCGCGATGAAGACCAATGCGTTGGCCAATCCTTTGCGCGATACCGGAAAAGATCCAGATCACTCTGGCGTCAAAGTCCTGGAGAGACAGCTATCGTGTATTAGCGTTCAGACTTGAATATCAAATTCAATATCCACAAACTTACAACGAATAGAGTGAACGATTGTAGCAGCATGACACTGGAACTCCTCAAGAAGTTTGCATTGGCCAATGCATGCTGAGCACCTTGCCGAAATCGTTGAGTCGCTATGCCTTTCGGCTCTCCCAGTATCGACAGGCACTCAACATCCTCTAACGACTCCACAGTTATACAGTAGATAGCAAATAGAAGGGCTTCGATATCTCGGGGAAGAGCATGGAGATTATCACTTGCATCTAAAATGAGCTGCTGAGTCGTCGGAGCATGGCAGATTTTGACCAGCGGGTGAATGTTTCTAAGATAGCTTTGCCATAACTTAAAGATCTGGACCGGGTTCGGGTGTAGAGACAGAAGATTGCTCGACGTTGAGTGCACGCCCATGACCAGTGCGGCGCCATCCGTGGCCGACGGAGATAGTGGGACATCGTAGCTACCTCCGGACACCTCTTCATCTGAAGACTCATCGAGGATGTCCTTGGGTTCACGAAATTCAGCGTGCAAGCTTGTCCATAATCCGTTCTCCAAGTATCGCGATCTACCCTCTTCCAACACGAGGACACCAACTTCGGATGCTACGTGTGCTTTTCGCGCTCGACTAGGCCCATGTGGTTCCAAGAAACCATTGAACCCAGTCACCAACTCTTCACCACGTGTAGCCTTCGCATAGTGTTGCTTGACCAAGTCTTCTGGCTCCACTCCGAGTTGGCGGAGCGCGTCTTCGTACACGCGTAACCTGGTAGCTACGTCGATTTCGCGCACCCCCTTCTTTCTTCGTCGGGCTGGAGGTGGGGCCTTGTAAACACATCGAGCCCGGATCTTGGTGCAGTTCGCACAACCATCCGGCCGCTTATCGCATTTGACTTTTCGTTGAGCACATAGTACACACGAGAAGCTCTTAGGTGCTGGTGGCTCCTGGGCGGTAGTATTGGTGGGATGAGATGCACCCAAAGGAGCGTCTGAAGGCGCTGAGACCATCTTGACGGACGACGAGGTCGTATGGCTCCACGTGCTCATACAGTATGCAGTCACTATACCGAAGTACAGTCAGATGCGACGAAGACGGTATGCGCGAAGTTGAACGGCCGTCGGGCTTACTCATCAATGCGCTAAACGGTGTTGCCAATCTTGGGGGCCTTAAACCCGCCGGGGTGTGGACGTGTGGACTCCGGAGTAAACGCTTTTCCGATGGTGCCTCAAATTGAATGTAGCATATACGAAAAATACGTAAAGTCGTTCGGATCATGAATGGCTTCTGTCGGGCCACATTCTTACTGTGAGCACTAAGATTTGAGATACTACTCCTCGAATATGCTGGAATTGAATCTCTTTGCCATTGCGCTCAAATCCTCGCCAATGGATTCAAATTTCAGCGTATCTAGACTCCTGACATACGCAACAGACAGTAAATATATGAAACCATATCGATTCATGTCTAAATCTGCTGCGTGAATTGTGGGAGAAAAGTAACCCTAGTAAAATGCTCATGTCTGCAACATCCATCATACGTGACATTAGCATACCACTTATGTTGATACTACGATAGCCTGCAAATAACGCAAATAAAGAGAGATGATGAAACTGGCCTCTTTTTCATTCCTGTCTTGATGACTATGACTGATTTGCAGGTCGTGACATGAGCTACGATGGCGTTAGACATATTGCAAGGTAGATTTGGACTCGAAAAGGGACTTACGATAAAATTCATCAACTCTTTTCCACCCCACTGTCTCAGATCGATACTCACCTCTTTAACTGGCTGGAAACCATGTCGCGCATACATTGGGGCCCCCATGGGACTGGCTTCGAGAAAGGCTTCGACACCGACCTCGTCCGCCTTTTCACAGCCCCATCTTACCAGCATGCTTCCGGCTCCTCTTCTCTCGTGGGCTTGGAGTGTGACTAACGTATCCAACACATAGTAGGGTCTGTTGCCTAGAATCTCCCGCTTGTTCGAGTTGAACAGAGTGTAGAGACTTTTGAAGAGCTCTGGGTCACTCTCGTCGTACGGTTCTGGGATGGTGAAACCAGCATCTACCTCTTCCCAGGTACGTTCCTTCGCGCCTTCTTCTTTGGGCTTGACGTAGCGCCAACGTGCCCCTGCGACCATCTCACCAGTCGAGGTATCGACACACTTGAGGTAGAGTATGCCCTTGTTGATTACGCCATCACGTATATCTTCTGTGACTCTGTCGAGTGTTTTCTGAGATGGCTCGCCCCGAGAGTAGAGGATGTTGTTGATGGTGGTGCGAAAGACCTCGTGCCGTATACGCATATATTGATCTGCTTCCTCGGGTTTGAGAAGTGAAACGGCGAGGTCTGAATCTGGCATGGTGCCGGGTGCCTGGAAATGGAGAGGTTTAGAGGTCTGGGGTGAGAGAGAAGAGTATTGACTATAGATATGGGACTTGACCATGAGACATGTGACAACACTAGAGATATTTCAGGGCATGAAATGTGCTTATATACCCATATATCTGCCTGGACAAGAGTCATACAAGCCTTGCCCGGTTAAGTATCGCCTAAGATGCGCGTCGGAGTCGGAATAGTCAGCCAATGGCAGTCCGAAGCATGTTGCGTAAGAGTATATACGACTCTCTTCACTCACAGTTCAGGGTGCTGTAATTTTCGTTGCGCGTACTTGACGTAAACGGACAGAGTTGTTCGCTCCAGATTGCATACTGTGTAGGCCTGACAGACAATGCTTTCCTACAGTTGAAGCGTGTTAAAACTGTGGGGTTGGGTAATAGCCTGCAAAAGGCAGACCTGTTGGACATGGCCATGGCCTCGATGTCAATCGACACAACACCCTTGTCTCACTATTGAAAGGTGCTTGATCTTGAAGCACATGCTCGTCGCTGGGACATGGTGCATCTCAACTCTTGCGTGGTTGTGGGTCAGAGGTGCTGGCTGTGGAGCTTCGCCTATCTTTGCCGCGTACCAGGGCTATCCCTGCAACAATTTCTCCCTCAGTTTTGCGATGGCGCGCCAGCAGCTGTCTCTGCACATGCACCAGAATTCGCAATGGCGCCCGTAAAGACAACTCCACACAAATCCGGTGGTCACCAGCGCTACGTACCCGAGAAGGCGAAGAACCCTGCGCGCTTTCAACCCGAACTCGAAGGCGGCGACGATGCAGATGTTGGCGCACTGCAGCCGGTGAAGGAACCACAAGAAGACGACTTTGAAGGCTTCGGCACAGAGGAGGAGACTGGGGAAGATGGCGCTCAGGATGAAGACAGCGATGCAGAGAGCATAGATATCCAGACGGAGCCAAAACGGGAAAAGCCTGTCTTGCCCAAGGACGCTGAGGAAGAGGAGCTGGAGCGCATGATTTTCGGCGACTCGGAAGGTTTCCGTCAAGGGCTGGAGAATTTCTCCCTCGATCCCACCGCCGGCGCATACGGAGATTCATCAGACGAGTCTGGAGCAGAGGCGGCCGACCTGGAGGATGTGGCAGATCAAGATCTATTCTTCTTCGATGCTGGTCCAGTTCCTGCGCCGGCAGGCTCGGTAGCCGCAAAGGTAGCCGAGTCGGACGAGGATGACGGCAAACCTGCCTGGGAAGACAGCGACGACGAAAGACTGGTTGTTAGTCTGGCCTCGGTGCCACAATTGAGGAAGTTGCGTGAAACGGCAGACGACGACATGGTCAATGGCAAGGAATACGCGCGGCGGTTACGGAAGCAGTACGAGAGGCTATACCCCACCCCAGACTGGGCGGCACACGCGACAGGCAAGGCCAACAAGAAGCGGCGACGGACCATGGATGACGACGAGAGCGGCGACGAGTCTGCCAGCGACATGGACGTGGATGAAGACGATCTCACTACGCAGCCACTAGCTCTGCTGCTCAAGGATGCGGATATTCTCTCACGCACTTCAAGGAGCATGGCGAAGCGAAGGAAGTTGCAAGCAGGCACCATCGACATCCAACGATTGAAAGATGTCGCCAAGGCCGGGCCGGTGAGTAACGCAATACTATCGTACGCCAGCATCTTACTGACCATTTCTCTAGTCGGCCGTCACCTCCCTCTCCTTCCATCCTGCGTATCCACTCCTCCTCTCATCTGGCCCAAGCTCAACGCTCTACCTTCACCACGTCAACCCCAACCCGCCGAATCCGAACCCTCTTCTTACGTCTCTGCACATCAAGCGCACCCCGCTGGCAACAACAGCATTCCATCCCTCCCCTTCGGACTCGCGCATCTTCCTCAGCGCACGGCGCCGCTACTTCCATGTCTGGAACATCGCAACGGGCAGAGTTGAGAAGGTGTCGCGTGTCTACGGCCATCAGCACGAACAGCGGACAATGGAGTTTTTCTCTCTGTCACCCAACGGCAAATACATGGCTCTCAGAGGCTCTTCAAGAAAGGGTGGTGGTGTTGTCAACATTCTAGATGCAAGAACTCTTCAATGGGCGACACAGGTGCGCATCGAGTCAAGAGGCGGAATCGCAGACTTCGCGTGGTGGGGTGATGGCAGCGGTATGAGCATTGCGGGAAAGAACGGAGAGGTGACTGAGTGGAGCGTCCAAGAGGGTGTCGTTGGACGATGGAACGACGAGGGCGCCGTGGGCACTACAACCATCGCACTTGGCGGTAAGAGCGGGCGCGAAAGCTGGCTGGGTGGTGATCGATGGGTGGCCATTGGAAGCTCAAGTGGCGTGGTCAATGTCTACGACCGGCGAGCATGGAACGAGAGGGACCCGTCAGTCGACAGCACGAAAGCCGACTCAAATGGTGGTATCCCAAAGGCACCGAAGCCGTTGCGCGATTTGCAGAATCTGACGACGCCCATCTCGCATCTCGCCTTCACAGCGGACGGCCAAGTCCTTGCCATGGCGAGTCGCTGGAAGAACAATGCCATGAGGCTTGTGCATCTGCCATCAGCTACTGTTTTCAAGAACTGGCCTACAGAAAAGACGCCACTTGGCAGAATCACAGCAGTTGCGTGGGGAAGGCCGACCGAAGAAGAGGAGAAAGAAGGCAGCCTCGCGCAACTAGCAGTTGCCAATGAAGCTGGACATATCAGGATGTGGGAGATAAGAGCGTAATCAGAGAGTTATTACAACCAGAAGCTGCCAAGTCGCTACTGCTCCAACAAACTTCATCGTCTATCGATATATGTCAGGAGCATGCGGTAGAGGAAAAGGACATGTACTGTTCGAAGGAGTAGAGCATCTGATTGTGACTATAGGGACAGGCAAGCTACATATTTGCAAGGATTAATCAAGCACGGATTCTTACATGCCAAATCGTCGGGTGCTGCAACATCCCGAGACAAGAGCGATCAACCACTACATTTCTTGCCTTCCACGCGCCCGGCAAACATCTCGCGTCGTTCTCACTCTATCAATCGATCGTCTATGCTGACTTTGTTATCAACGCACTCATGGAAGGCACGCTCTCGATACGCTGTGCTTTAAAGCACCAGTCCGTTACTGCTGTCCTTCATCACCACAACAGCACTTTTGAATACCTCGCGCAATACAATCTTTGCACAACAGCATATCGGCATCATCTTCGCAGGTGTATCATAGCAACAGCATTTCCTCTCTCATCATGGGTAAGAACAAAGTCCGCAACAAGAACAGAGCGAGAAAGGAAAATACGTCTACGAGTGGCAACAGTGGCTCCAACATCCCCTCGACGTCGACGTCTGTGAACGGAAACGTCAAATCCAGATCCACAAGCAGTACAGTTAATCGGCGGCACCTACTAGCAGACCCCACTCAAAACAAGCTCAGCACGCCAACCACCGCCTCACTCAAGGACGCAACTACATCCAAAACTTCCAACAGCACCTCGCCTGCTGCTCCTATGTCGCGTACAAAGGGTGCTCAAGAAAAACGAGATTCGGTCATCTCAAGTACATGGGAAGGTCCAAAGCAGTACTCCCGACCCAAGACGAAGTCTCCGAAGCAGCCCTTGTGGGGATTCAAGCCTGGTGGCTGGTGGCCATGCCGTGCCCTGAAGTGGACATACCAATTTTTCCTGGCCTTGGTTAGGATACACTGGAACGATCGAAAAACCCTCCAGGATCTTGTCCTGACATTAGTTTTGGTTGGCTTGGCTATCGCTGGCTTCTACGTCGTACTGGATTTTCTGCTCAGAGCTCTGCCTGGAGTCGCCGCTCAAGGCTTGGATGGAAACTGCAGCGTCGTCTATGTCACTGTGCCTGGGCCGATCATTACGGTTTCGCTCATTGGTGCATCACCTACAAATCCTGCAAGAGGTACATACTACTTCTCCGTCATCAACGGCACAACAGAGTGGCTCAACAGTATCTCGCCGCCCAGTCGTTTCAGTACCCTTGTTACCCGAACTGCCGATATTACACCTATCGTTTCTTCGTTGTCGACAATAGGAACATCTTCCTCCGGTGCTGCCACCGCATCATCAACGCAGACGGCGACTACATCTGCGTTTTCGATATTCAACCCTTCTACCCCAGAACCAGGCGCAACGTTTATATCGTTGTTGACCTCTGGATCTACATTTGGATCGTCAGTCGGTACTAGTGTCTTTGTAAGCAGTCCCTTAACTTCTTCGTTGGCTTTGTCGTCTGTGAGTTTGTCCCCGTTGGGCCCAACTTCATCTGAGACGTCGGACTTAACTCGACCGATCAACCAACCACAGAGACCATATCCGTCGTTTTCTACATCCGCCACCGTTATCACTACCAGCAGCAGACTCTCTACAGTCGCCACTACGCTATCTACACTTGTCTTGCCATCCACCTTCTCCACACCCTCGATTTCTAGTCTCCCATCCGTCATCCCGTCGAGCAGCCTGCCTGGTCTGAGTCCAAATCTACCTTCGAGCACGTTTAGTGGCATGTCTTCGCAGCCTACATCAGGGCTCGGTCTACCGCTGATTTCGAGTGTTCTTACAACATGGACATCAGTTCTATCGAGTAAATTGACTTCACTTACCACTAGCACAACGACTTCTTTGGAGTCCTCTGTGTCATCTTACACGCGGAGCGATGGCTTTACTGTGTCTCTTCCAAGATCTTCCTCGAAAACATCTTCTCCTGCCGGCCCGTCTTCAAGCACCTCGAGCCTACCGAATCCAAGTCCTAGCCTGGCCAGCAGTACTGGGAGTTCCTCAAGCACATCATCAAGGGCTCTTACTTCATTGCTGGGTACAAAATCTGGCATCACATCGGGTAGCTCGGTTTCAATCAGTTCAAATCCAACACAGACCAGCAGTGCAAACAGCGTCTCGATCACACTACCGACAGTATCTACCCTGTCACTCTCTGTACCGTCTGCTTCTTCGCTCAACTCGATTCTTACACCGAGCTCTACTTCATCGTTACACTCCTTGAGTACGCCTTTGACCAGCATGCTGGTCTCAAGTATCTTGACTGGATTTCCCACTTTATTTCCTAGTACAAATTCTTCGTCTTCAATAATCAGAAACTCAACGTCTTCCTCTACACTATTGATGTCGGATACCATGACGAGCTCTACTCCTAGCTCTAGCTTTCTGCGTGGCAGCTCAACCTTGACTGACGGTACTATGAGCATCCAGACCGACACTACTGTATCGATGTCTCTTCCAAGCTCCGTGGTTGTTTCACCAAGCACCCTCACTTCAACATTGGCGTCGACGACAAGCACCTTCCCAGTAGTAACCCCACCTTCTCCTTCGGGCCTGAACGCAACGTCCTCGTCTCTCTTTCGGGCCGTGACGAAGGTGATTTCTTTCGGAGATGCTGCAGTAAGCTTCGTTTTCCCATCACCCAACATCACGACAACAATGTCATACTGGACGGGACTATACCCTACAGTAACCGGACCACTGCCATCGGACTTGCTAACCATATCGTTGACAACACGGACTGAGCGGCAGACACCGCTCTCGGCTCTCCCTTCCTTTGAGATGTTTTCATCCAGGTCTAGGCGCTTCAAAACGGTGGTGACGACGATATTCGAAGAAGGCGATGAAGGAACGTCAACGTTAGCGAGGCGTCAGGACATTCCCATCACAGAGGTCGAGCCTATCCAAACTTTGGAGACAACCATGCCTGCAACGACAACCGTGGCGCTTCCGGATCTCCCAGGACCGTCGTCGTGTGGCGAGTCGGGCAACTTCACACTGACCTTCGATGACACAGTCGTCGGTGACGACAACAGCATACTGCTTGTTGCCAATGGCATGACGAACCCGTACCACCACCTCTTCTATGCCAACGGATATACATATATACCTGACATGTGGGAGCCATACCCCGCCATCTCGCAGCCAAACATCGCAATGTTCCTGCCTCTGACCGGACGCCTCCTTCCCAACACGCCATTTGCGGGCATGATGCTTCCCGGTGAGCTTGGTGCCGGACCACGGGCTTCGGTGGATGCCTACTGGTTCAACGCGTATTCTGCCTACTTTGGTTGCGCTCTCAGCGGTCTTGAGCCCTGTACATTGCGGGTGTCTGGCTATCGCTATGACCCTGTGCTCAAAGAAGAGGTGCTCGTTGCAGAACAGAATGCGACGATTCCAGCATGCTGGGGGTACATCGACTGCCACCTTACTCAGGTCTTTTTCAACGACCAGTTCCGGGCGCTTTCTGGGATCCAGTTCAATGCCTACACATACCTGTTGGGCATACCGCAAGTGCACATGGTGGACGATCTGCAGATGGAGTGGTACAACAACACATGTTCGGCTGGTATACTACGCATCGGACATAGCTAGCGTATTGGTTTAGGGTGTCAATGGAGTGGCGAGGAGTGGTACTATCTCATTGGATATGTGTTATACTGTTGGAAGAATTCAAGAAGGATAGGATGATAACAAGACTAGCATAGCAGTTTTTGGAGGAGATGTGTCTAGACCGGAATTGAAAAGATGGGTCTGCAACGAATGCGCCGCTCCTGCTGCAGATGACCGTGATGGCAGCCTCAGGTGACGGCTGGGTGCGAGAGATGCAGTGAGGCGTAGAGGCTCGATTGGGCGGCGACATGTTCCACGGCAATGGTCGTCCGAGATGTGTTTCAGGCGGGAACTGCCATGTGAGCTGAAGGGGAGTCAACTACGCGTCGGCAGCCAACTCCGGAGGGCGGAGGGCAGGAACGACGCGTAGGGTGGGTGCAAGCATGCCATGGCGACTTCCGAGGTCCCCCATGCACACGTCCAGGGTCCTCTTATGGCGTCACGCGGCCGCGACGATTAACATATCACGCGCGAACCGCTGAGGCGGCAGCACCACGGGCATTTGATATAGCCGGCGTATCATTCTCCAGCATTGCTTGCATTTCCGTTTCCTCTTTTTCCACTTCTCGCTGCACCTCTTATTCGTCTTGTCCCCAGGCCCCAGTGTCTCCGACTGCACCGTGGCTGGCGCGGGATTGTCGCATGTCCTCGTTCCAGTAGTCCGCCACAAGCGACCTGCCGCTCTGCAGCCTTTACCGCGTAGATACTAGCGTTTGCCCGACAAGCTTGCCCTCTTCACGGGTGATAGCAGTCTCTTTCTCGGGTTTCCTTGTCTCTGGGAGAAATCTCTCACTGTCGCCGAAGGTAGACCGCCGATCCAGGCCCGAGGCCCGCTACCATTTTTCAGAGCTATGGCTACCTTTGCGCCTACCAATTTTCCCTCAGACGTCGGCGAGAAACCCCACCAGGAGCCCCCACCACAGCATCTCCAACACGGACCCTTCTCCCATCAACTCAACCCGCCAACCGCGCCATACACGTCGAATCCGCCTCAGATATCACGACGAGCTTCGCGCGACCTCCGGCCCCAGCATTCCAACGGCGCAATGGCGGGCGCAAACGGTCATGGGCCCATGGCAGTGCCTGGCGGGCGCATCAACGGCCAAGAGCATCGAGCAAACTTGCGCGACATGGGCTTTGCTGGCCCGCGCAGTCCGCCAAACAACAAGAGTAGGTCGAGGCAACGCCCAATCTGTGCACACAGCGGCTGACAAGGGCAGATACCTCACACGTGCCCTGCAAGTTCTACCGGCAAGGCGCATGTCAGGCTGGGAAGGCGTGTCCGTTCTTGCACTCCGATGAGCCGCTGACAGAGCGAGCGCCCTGCAAGTATTTCACAAAGGGAAACTGCAAGTTCGGCCAGAAATGTGCTCTTGCCCACATCCTCCCCAACGGCCATGTCGTAAACCGCGGAAATGCCGGCGGCCACTTCAGCCGCATGAACATTCCCCATCACCAGGAGCTACCTATGAACAGCTCGCTGCTTACCATGCAGGCACACATGGGCGGTATGCAACCCGGCTATCCTTACGCCATGCCCGACGAATACGCGAACCAGAAGAACCAGTACGACATGATTCCGACCATTGACACCACGTTCTCTTCACACCCAGGTTCCAACTACGGCTCGCCGCCAAACGAGAACGGCCGACTTCCAATATCCCCAACCCAAAAGGGCCTGAGTGTCATGGACGTAGGACTCCCAGCCTCGTTCGACAGCCAGGGTGTCTCCACCATGGCACGATATGGCCCCATCGCCTCCTCTGTACCCGCCAAGTTCCTCGCAAACTCTCCGCCATCTTCATACCAAGCCGACTCGCCTGCTCTCCGAAACCTACACGATTCTGCATTTGGAGATGGTCTGCGGAGAGGCATTGCGGGATTGGGATCATCCCCGCCAGAATCCGTCGAGCAGCCAGTGGGGCGAAGGATGCTACATTCCGAGCTTGCTGCTAATCGGTCTCGGGGTATCATGTCTTCAAGTGTGGGCGCGCGTCCGACGTACAAGGACGAAGAATGGGATGAGACGGACATGATTGGCAAATTCGAGGAAGACCTACTGCCAAACTCGCTCAGCGATCTTCTTACTCCTCAGGAAAAGATGCGCCGCTTCTCCCGTGACCAGGGCGAGAGCGACAACCGCACCTCACAATCCAGGTTTGGTGTATCGCCAACAGCATCGGACCTTAAATATGGATCCCCATCGGCCGCAACCGCCTCCCCCTCGCGCTTCCAGTCCATGTGGGCCAAGCCGAGAGGACCGACCTACGAGCAAGGGTTTGAATCAGGTTCCCTCCCAGGTCAGTCAGCTTTCGGACACGTCGGCTCACCACTACGCAACTCAAGCCTCCACCCGGGAGCCAGCCCTTCGTTGCGCGCTATGAATCGACCGACTACTGGTGATATGAGCCCTTACCTAGCTTCGCCTCCCCGTCAAGCTTCCATGAGCATGATCAGCCAACAACTGCAGCGAACTCGACTTTCATCTCGTGAAGAGACTGGCATCACCAGCAACCCCGTCCATCCCGGAATCAACCGCGTTACCTCGGCATCCAGCATTGGTAGCTCCAGTGGGCGTCTTGGTATCGATCGTGCTGTAAGCAGCAGCAGCATTAACCGCGAGAGAATCGAGGAGGAGCAAGGCCTTTTCAGTATGGAAGAAGAGGACGACCTCAACAAGAGCAGGGATGGTGCCTCTACTACCTCCAGTACGAGCAACAAACGTTTGAGTGGTCTATCCTGGGGCAGTGGCGGCAAGGGCAGCCCGAACCTTGCACCTGTCGGCGGCCATCGCACTACTGGCTCATCTGGACTCGGAAAAGAAACGGGACCCTGGGGTAGCAATGCTTGAGTCGACGCATCAAGTATGTGGCAAAGATGAATCTGCCTAATCTCAACCCTCGGCTCGCTCTTTTAGCGGCATGTTCACGACACCTAGACCAAGGCATTTTTTCTTATTTCTACAAAAAAAAAGGGTTGAAAAACTTTCAGCGTTTCTGGCGACTTGCATACGGAGTGTGTGCCCCTTCACACGGATTCCTCCCTCCCTCTATATTCCACGGCATATACAAAAAGTCTCTTAGCTTTGGCTTAACACTGTCGAGCGGACATGGCTGGCGTAACACATGACGGGTGTCATCTCGTTCCCACTTTTCTTTTCACTGGAGTATTCTTTTTCTCAAATGGTCTTCATGAACAACGGAGTTCAATAAGACTGCAACAATTTCTGGTCGCAGGTCTTCTACCGGTAATGTGGTGGACAAGGTTTACTGAGCACGAGTATTTACGACGGATATGAATCAGCATGGGTAGCTTAGATAAATGTATATATACTTGATACCTTATAAGAGGACTACTGATGAACAGATGTGTGGAATACTACGTATGATAAACTTGTCTGGTTTTTCTTAGATCCTGACGTACAGCCTACATTAGAATCTAATCAAGAGACTTACAAAGATGAATGATATTGTGGATTTATAGGTCGTCTGTTTAGATATTTCTTACTCTTTGCACCCTGTGAAGAACTTACTCACGGATTTTGTGGGAATTACTGTGATCACTGCCATGCATATGCGCAGCAGTCCATCAAAGGACTCCATCCGTTTTGAGACGAATCTGTAGAGGGCTCTGTGCCGAGGTAAGTGGACACCTACCTTGAAGACCAATCTCCTATTTTTAAATGATTCTGTCTTGGGAGAAGGATATAACAAATTCTACTGAAAGTCCATCTATCTCACAGCTTCGGCTTGGAGACTACACCCAAGGGTACATCATCTTTGCTTCTCTCCTTGAGTACTCGTCTCAAGATCTTCCCACTCGCACTCTTCGGTATCTCTTGGATGAACACAATGCCACCTCTTAATCGCTTGTGGTTCGCTACTTTCTTGTCCATCCAGTCCACTATAGCCCTAGCTTCGGTCTCTCCAGCACCAGCGTGGCTAGCTTGCGAGGCCACGATATACGCCCTGGGAACTTCTGTGTGCTGTTGCTCGTCGTTGACCCCAATAACCGCTGCATCATCTACAAGTTCGCTCTCCATAAGCTTCCCCTCGAGTTCAGCGGGTGGTACTTGGAAGCCTTTGTATTTGATCAACTCTTTGACTCGATCAGTGATGTAGAAATTATGCTGTTCGTCCTGAAAGCCGATGTCACCCGTTTTGAAGAATCCATCCGATGTGATAGCCTCTTTGGTCGCCGACTCGTTCTTCCAATATCCTTTGAAGATGTTGGGGCCGCTGAGCCAGAGTTCGCCTGCTTCGCCGGGCCCGAGTTCTTTGCCATCGGCTGAGATATACTTTGCTTGCATGTTTGGAAACATCTTTCCTACGCTTCCTACAGAACTGTACCACTCATCCCATGGCTTTGGCTGGGTGTTAGCGGTTTACTCTTCTCCGATACAAAGACAAACCTACCTGGGTATGCGTCATTGGACTCGTTTCACTCAGACCATAAGCTTGGTTGATCTTAAGCTTCAGCCTTTTGTGCACAGCATCGACCAACTCTTTGGTCAGTGGAGCCGCGCCGCTCGTTATCATCTTGACTGACGAGAGGTCGTACTTTTCTACCATCTTATCTCTAGATAAGCGCACAATGACTGGAGGTGCAACGTAAATGAACGTGATTTTGTGCTCTTGTATCGTTCGCAGAAAGGTTTCCATGTCAAAAGCAGGCATTACTACAAGCTCGATACCGCGATGTAGTGTTTGGTGCACCAAGCCGGTAAGACCTATCTTTGTTAGATTCTACTTCGGAAAGCACTTGCAACATACCGTATATGTGGAAGAACGGGAGTACTCCGAGAAACTTGTCGTTTGCTGACGAATACCAGTTTCCGACTGCTCCCTGTGCCAGGAGTAAATCTGCGACGATATTGCGATGGCTAAGCATAACACCCTTTGGTAGTCCCGTGGTTCCAGAACTGTAAGCAAGGAATGCCAAATCTTCGGGGTCTGCCCTCCTCCTGCGATAGCGCAGTGCACCTGATGTTTTTCGGATGCTCGTCCAATGCTTACATCGATGTGTCTCATCCTTCTCAGTACCCAACAAGACTACTCTGTCACTTGGAATTCCAACCTTCTCTGCAGCCTTCAACGCGGTATTCAAGAAGGCCTTGGTCGTGACAAGTGCCTTGGCTCCAGAGTTCTCCAATTGGTAAGCCAGCTCATCTTTGGAGTACCCTGGGTTGGCAGGCGTGACGATGCCACCTGCAAAGAACGTTCCATAGATGACGGGCGGTATGTCGACATCGTTGGGTGCGTATAATGCGAGGACGTCGTTTTTCTGCCAGTCCCAGAGATTTCTCAGGCCTTCACCAAACAATGTCGCATGGCTCTTTACATCAGCAAATGTGTATCGTTGGTCAGAGTCGATAGCGCGATATATCACTTTGTCGTCGGAGAAGTCGCGGTCTTTGCGATCGAACATCAGACCCCAGAGGTCGACACTCGGGATCTTTACATCCGGAAATGGCGACTTGGTAGGCATCTTGGACTCGAAAGCAGAAAGGAGTGAAAGGCACACGGTTACGTCTGCAAGACAGTCTTTAGACAGCTATAGGATTTTGCATATAGCGATGTAGAGTAAATATGCATATTAGTCTATGGGCGAACTAGAGATGCATGGAGACGTTTGGTTGTGGGGAACCTCGGCTTTGAGCCTCATGACGTCGTCTACCCTTTGGCCCTATTGCCGATTCGCATTGCAACATCTATACTGCCTCTGGCGATATCCAGCTCCCTCAATGGAGACTGGAGCGGTTCTAGGCAACAATGTTTTTACAGCGCCATTGTGTAGTTGTAGCACTCGGAAGCCATGGAGCTGTGATCTCTTAACTTATTGACCTTGCAGTCCGTTACAAGAGTGAGCAACTCATATCTTACGTTCCAACCACGCATTCGGTTCTGGGATTCTCAAGATACGTGGAATGTAGACTGAAGCCTCTGGAAAATTTGTCGGGACTGCCAGGCAAACTCTTTGAGTCAGCTTATGCAAGATATCAGATAGTCAAAGGACATGACCATCTTCATCGGTGCTAAAAAGTAAAAGACAAAGGTTTGCTGCACCTATCTACGAGCAACAACCAGCTCTTTCTAGGGCAATCGGTTGCTTCAGTTCATCTTTGGTCTAAGAACGTCATGAGAACGGTTTTGCGATGACAAACGCACTGCTTTCTCCGGAAGCAAGCAAGCGCCTGATAGCACAAAGTGCACCGAACGGCTTACATGTTTAATTCGATGCATTTAGAGTATGCGAGAAACCGAGAAGCAATATGTCCGTTAAGGTTCAGGTCTGGACCATAGTTGCGCGGCTAGGCCTGGAGGGACAGACTGGGTGAACTAGTGATACAAGTACGGGTGTGTGTTGGTGTTACGACTTTAGCTAGATCGACGATGAGATCTGACGATGTAACAGTGCACATGGATAAGGGTCCAGACTATGGCAGTTTGACAGTGTTTGCTAGGATCCCACATCCGCAGCGACTCAAGACCGGCCCTGTATTTGAATTGACGACTGTGATGCCGAGTTCTTGAGTGTTTGAATAAAGAAGCCATGCGGAGTCAATAGTGGACAGACAGAAGCCGCGGCTAAGGAACCCGTTCCCGCAGAAGGCGCACGGCCTCCAGAATGGTGGGGGGGAGGCACAACGACCGAACGACTCCACAGACCCACACGCAGCCCTCCATCACAGTCCAACCAACCATCAGGGTGTTTGCCTGGAAGCTGGCCGTCCGCACGACTCTCAGAAAAAGGAAGAGAAAATACTCAACTACGGAAATAATCATCGTGTAGACGCCAACCGTGAGTTCACGACAGGTTCAGCTACATCCAAGGCTTACCGACACGCTCCCGATCGGTCTTGCAACCTCAACCTCCGTCAACCAACCCAGACTGCTGGGACGTCGCTCAGGCTCGCGGTGGGTGCTTCTGGATTGCGATTGGCTGGCTGGGTGCCGTGCCGTGGGGAGACTTGTACCGTCGACGACCCATACAGCGTCATCGTTGAGGCGTGGACGGAAGAAGGGCAATTTCTCTGCAGCGTGATATCTGCACCACTTGGCCGTTCAGCTGGCAGGGAAGCCGGCCTTAAGCAAGTGTCACCGGTAGCTACTTCTCATACACAGGATGGGTAAGTGGGCCCCTCTTATATACGCATCCGTAACTTCCCCTCCCTGGCGGCCTTTCAACGCTTTTGCCATCTCCCGCGCCATCACGGTTCTGCTTCCTCTTACAACTTGACACCTTGCCTGCTGACTTCTGCCTACCAGACTCTGCAGGAGACAACTATCGTCCAAGCGACCGAGTAAGTACCCAAGTCCCTTTATCTCCGTTTCCTGCCTCCAGGCACAGGTCAGGCGGATAGCGAGGCTGCCGCATTGCGCAGCGCAGTAGGCGGGAGCGGCGATCACGACATTGATGATGCCTACCTCTGAGCCTTCCCAAGGTAGTCGTCACCTCTCAATCCATCGCCCATCGCTGTCACGTGACCGTCACGTGACTGTCGCTTTTGGCAACTGCCGCCGGGCGGCCTGTCGTTGACCAAGCTCCGAGCTGCCAGCCCTCACCTGCTCGCGCAACCTCTCCTCAACCCCATCAACCACGCGAGCCCGCAACTGCTCGCCATCGCCTAACCTCTAACAACCTCACTCCCGCCTCGACACATTGCGTCAATTTTGCAATCATGTCGTACGAAACTGACAACTATGAGCAGCGCGACCGCTCACCTCGTCGACGATCTCGCTCACCGCGACGCTCCAGACGCTCTTACTCCCCCCGTAGCCGCTCGCGCAGCCGAGAGGACTATCGTCGCACTGAACGCCGCTCGCGGTCCCCCAACAGTGGTGCGCAAGGCGCTGGAGGTTATCAATCTTACGGTGCTGGTCGAGGAGCTTCATCGCGACCGGTCGAAAACAAGGAAATGATGCAGAGTATTAGGGATTCTTCGCAACAAGACCGCCGTGTCTACGTCGGCAATCTGTCCTACGATGTCAAGTGGCACCACCTGAAGGACTTCATGCGCCAAGGTACGGGATGTGTCGCGCCGCGTCAAGAGCTGGACTAATGCGGAAATAGCTGGAGAGGTCCTCTTTGCAGACGTATTACTGCTGCCGAACGGAATGTCAAAGGTAATGGATGATGGCTTGTCTTGATCGTGAGAAGGATGGAGGTTGACTGGCTTTTGCTTGGGTGTAGGGCTGTGGCATCGTGGAATATGCCACCCGGGAGCAGGCGCAGAACGCTGTTGCATCGCTCAGCAACCAAAACCTTATGGGCCGACTCGTATACGTTCGCGAAGACCGAGAGGCCGAGCCTCGATTCAGCGCCCCCGGCGGCGGCGGACGCGGAGACTTTGGCGGCGGAATGGGCGGACGCGGCGGCTATGGAGGAGGCTTTGGCGGCCCAGCTGCTGGAGGCGGTGCCGGACGACAGGTCTACGTCGCCAATGTTTGTACCCCTTTTATACTCCCGATGCTTACGTCGACAGCCTGTACTGACCCTACCATCTAGCTTCCCTATAACGTAGGATGGCAGGACCTCAAGGACCTCTTCCGCCAGGCCGCTAACAACGGTCAAGTGCTTCGTGCTGACGTCCATATTGCACCTGATGGCCGCCCCAAGGGTTCCGGTATTGTCGCTTTTGAGACACCCGAGGATGCCCGTAACGCCATTACTCAGTTCAATGGCTACGATTGGCAGGGCCGAAACCTAGAGGTTCGTGAGGATCGCTTTGCTGGCGCTCCTGGCGGCTTTGGTGGTCGTGGCGGATTCGGCGCCCGTGGTGGATTTGGTGGTGGCTTCGGTGGTCGTGGAGGATTTGGCGGCCGTGGCGGTTTTGGCGGTGGCTTCGGAGGTCGTGGAGGCTACGGCGGTGGCGGCTTTGGCGGCGGTGGTCCTGGTGGCCCTGCCTTTGACCCCAACGCTGCTCCCCCCGCGCCAAACCCATTCACGGACTACGCTACTGCAGGCGGAGAGCCCAGCAACACCATTTACGTCCGCAACCTACCCTGGTCAACCAGCAACGAGGACCTCGTCGAGCTCTTCACTACAATTGGCAAGGTCGAACGTGCTGAGATCCAGTACGAGCCCAATGGTCGCTCCCGGGGAACCGGTGTCGTCGAGTTTGCCCAAGCTGCAGATGCCGAGACCTCTATTGGTAAGCTCATTGACGCTCATTGCTTTTTACTTACTGACATATATGTAGCTAAATTCACTGGATACCAGTACGGTGGTAGGCCTCTTGGCTTGGCCTATGTCAAGTACACCAATGTGGGTAACGGCGATGCTATGGAGGGTACCGAGCATACTGGTGGATTGACCCAGGATCAGATTATGTAATAGGATCAGTCTTGTGCGGTATTTCTTCAAAGCGCAAGCATCAGAGGTTCGATGCACACGAATTCCTATCTGCTCTTGTTAGGAGCATCGTCATGTTAGGAACTACGTTTCTCTCAAGTCTCACATGTACACACATGACGGAGCTTTGAAGGGATTATGCTACCTGGTCTTGGTCATGGGCATGTTTTTGTAGCGGACCAAAATTTCCTTATTTCTCAAAAAGGCTCGGTGTCGAAATGGAATAGTCACCTAATGGTTTCATAGCCCTGGCCTTCAGCAATCACAATTTGTCACTATGCACTCATTTTCTTGAATCTGGCAGCAGTGAGCCAAGCCATTTGTTATTGCTGTAGCATCTTCATCATCCACTCGTAAACAGCCCACTGAACGGCATTAACCACGAACGCCCGTATACTACATATCCCAAGGCCGCGGAAGAAAACGCCTGCGCCTTCTGTCCGGTAGGCCTGTCTGGCGATCTCGACAGAGCTCAAACGCGTCCTGGGTGTTTCTGCTCCTAACAGCGAGCTCTGTTCACCGTGTTGTACGGATGCATGTAGTACCTGCGTTTGTACCCTAGTCTTGATAACATCCAGCGGAAATATGGATGCCCATGTTATCACTCCAGCCAGACCTCCACACAGCAGCACCTTCATAGCCGTTTCCCTATCTGAATCGTCTGGTGAGCTCCAGGCTTGTTTCGAGAGTTCGTAAGACCAGAAACTAAGTGATTGGTCAGTCAATGTTCTTTGTCGTTGTTCGATCGCAATAACAGGTAAATACTGACTAGAACCCATATCCCACTGCATCTCTCACACTAGTAATTCCGCCCCCATAGTACAAGCCCCTGATGCCTTCCGCCTTCCACACATCTCTCGCTACACTCCATGACGTCGTTGTCGCGCTCGTGGCAACTTGTGCACGGCACTTGACGAGTTCAGTGGGTGCGCTGACTACGAAGGATGCGAGGCCGCCTGTTGCACCTGCTAAAAAGACTTTGGAGAAGTTTTGAGGAGAGGCAGGAGGGTCGTTAAGGAGCGAGAGAGTGCGATTGTATGTCATGAATAAAAGGGCGTTGAGCGCGCCGTAAGTCAGAATGGGTGCTGTTGCGCCTATACTGGACAAGTCAAGTCAGCCTAGCGATCTTGGGATTGTTTGCTTGATATTTTCACTCACCTCTTACGAGTGTCCCGGCATTTTCAAATTGTCCCTTGTACCCCTGTGATGCTGTCACCGCACATGTCGCCGTTGTAGCTTCGACATTTTGCGCCGATTTACCAGCTTGCAGACGCGTCTTTATCAGGTCAAGAGGGTTGCCAATAATTATGCCTGCTGCGCCGGATACGTAGCCCGCCCAAAAATCCGCCGACATGGTTTTCTTCAAAGGGGTGTGAAGGAGACAGATTGGAGGGGTACTTGGGGAAGGGTTGCTGGAGAGATGCGGGTTGTGGGGCACGAGGTTTGGATGCCGAGGCATATCGTAAGAGAGATTGCCATAGTAAACAGATGCCTTGAAGATGTTCACATAGCGTATAATTGGCGATTGTTCTGATGGTTACCAACTTCGTAATTGACGTCTCGCATGTGGCGGGTATCCAGGAACACACTTTACCTAGGCATCTCAATTCATTGTTATGCATGTTGATGGTCAACGAACTAGCTTGGATTCGAGGCTGATTTGGGTCCGGGTTCCATCGAGGGTACTTGTAGTGTAATTCTGGAAACATAGATCTGAGTACCCTGCATCGTAGACTGCATAGATCATGTTTACTTTATTGGCGATCCATCCAGTTTCTCACGGGACGCTTGACGTCGTTCGTGCGCTTGACAGCACCAACAAATAAGCAACAAATGAAGAGCACCGTGACATCCTGCTGTCTTTCCGATGATTTAAACTCGATGTACAGGCTGGTTTGCGGCACGATCTAGATTGGTGTGCAGGAAGCTCAATAAGCTGCACTCGGTTTGTATGTGTCATTCGTGGTGGCGTTGGCATGTCGACCCGAATGATTCATGAGCACTGACCTTCTGAGGCTGAGACACAAGTGACTACGTGCCGATCACCCTCACCCCGCCGCCACCCAGAGCTCAATTACTTACCTCTACCCTCGCGCCGCTCTCATTGTTCACTCACTACTTATTCCTTCCTCTTCACTCGTGTCTGGAGCCCTCGGTCCAGCCTGGCGACACTCCTGTCTTTAACCTGTCGCGATAGACCATGAGCGTGCGATCGAGGCCATTGTTTCGAGATCGGTTACACGGTATGTTTGGCATTTATTACAATACAGAAGGCGCGCCCGTACTTGGATCGTCGAGGTTCTATCAGGCTGTACCATACGCTGTGCGGGTGGTAGCCTTGAGCACCCCAACCATGGTTCGTCGTCCACATAACTAATAACGGCCCAGTGTCATCTACACAATAGCACCCAAGTCCATACAACGAACACGCACGAAAGCCAAATCCCATTCTACTTGCCGAAAACAATCAAATGCCTTCACAACCGCCCGACTCCGGCTGGGACTTCAGCTCCGTAATCAACTTGATAGACTCGGGAGCCCAAGACGTTAGCAGCCCAACGCTTCGACCTGCGGCGCCACCCAAAGCTTCTGGGCTTAAAGATGGAGGAATACGCCTAGGAAGCTTCTCCAAGCTATTCGAAAGCTTAGGCTTTGCCGATACCGACGCCGCGCCGCTGCCGCCGCTCGATCCTGAGTCTGAACTGAGCAACTCTGATGAGGCGTTACTACCGTCCCCCACTCTAGAGTCCACTAAGACGCCTGCCAAACATATCGAGAGTCCAGACGAGGAGCCGATAGAGAATACGGGTTTGACCAAGACCCAACGGAAGAAGGCTCGCAGACGCGCCGAGAAGGAACTTGAAGAAGAGCGAAATCGTCAACAGGCTGTTCAAGACACCTTGGCTCAGCTTGCAGAGGAGCGCGAGCAAAGACAGCAACAAGCACAACAAGCGTTATTGCGGAAGCAATTGAACGACACTACCGACATTAATACCAAGGTCGTTGATGTGCCCGAAACGCCATCCAAGACCTCCCGAACACACTCGCGATCCAACGTGGGCGCTAAGATCAGGCCTGCGACTCCTACCCCGGTAGCAGCACAGGATACATCTGAAGCCCCTCAAACGCAACAAAAGCAGCCCAGGACCCCCAAATCCCGCCCCAGCATACTCAAGCGGCCTTCTGCGGCACAGCCAGCAACCCCTCAACCCCTTCAACAAGTGCCGATCGTCGTTCCTTCCACTGCACCCGCACCTGCCCAGATCCAATACAAGCCATTTGGCACACCTGCACCGAGCCAGGACACTTTGGCCGAGGCTCAACAACTGCCCCGTGCCATCACACCAGTACACCATGGTCTTGTTCCCCGCACTGTTCGACCTGTCACTCTGCCACGAACTTGCTCCCAACCTGCTGTTGCTCAACAGCCACCCACTACCCCAACACCAAATGCTGCCTCACTCAGTGGACGGCGACCACCGCTCGCGATTAGATCGCAAGTAGAGCGTCACTACCATCTGTTTAACAAGTTGTTGAACACTTTTCCCGAAGATCGAAAGTGGCTAGTGTCGCCTATGCAACTTCTCAGTGAGCGAGAGTCGGCGCGTGGATTGCATGTCTTTGTTGACGCCTCGAACATTATGATAGGGCTGAAAGATATGCTCCGAAACCACGGATTGCGACATGATGCGTACGATATGTCTTTCGATAGTCTTGCGCTTCTGATGGAGCGTCGCCGGCCTGTCGCAAAGCGTTTCTTTGCTGGATCACACCGTGAAGCCAATCCACTGCCACATGTGGCCAAGTTGGTGGAGACATCCAAGGCCGTCGGTTACGACAGCATCATGCAAGAGCAGGTACTCATTGTACGCGAAGACTCGGACAAGAAGAAATTCTTCAACGATGTCAAGAAGATGGGCTGGCATAAGGCTACTCAAATGCGTGCTGAGAGCGGCAGCGACTCTGAAACGGGTCCGCCGGCTCCCAAGACACCTTCAGCCCCGAAATGGGTTGAGCAGGGTGTTGACGAGATTCTTCACTTGAAGATGTGTCAGAGCATCATTGATACCGAAGTGCCGAGCACCATGGTTCTCGCGACTGGGGATGGGGCTGTTGCAGAGATGTCGGACGGCTTTCTTGCCCACGTTGAACGGGCCCTGAAGAAAGGCTGGAAGGTGGAGTTGATCAGCTGGGGACAGCAGATCAACAGTGGATACCGGAAGCGCCAGTTCAGGTCCAAGTGGGCGGAACAGTTCACGATTATCGAACTCGATGAGTTCTTGGAGGACCTTATCGACACACCCTAGGATAGTGATGAACATACGTGATCTGATGTTTTGATGGAGGATGCGTTTTGTGGATGTTAGCACGCGACACGATATACGAACGAGCATGGCGTTTGCATGTCGGTTTGACTGGGTTTTCTTCTCAAACGGTCGTGGACAGCTTCGGCTTGATTTGTAGAGCGAGTTTTGTATTGCATCTTTTTGTGAAAGTATCGGCGTTTTCATCATGGAGCATTCTCAGCGCGTCTGATGGATATAGAAGTTCAGATTTTGTTTAATTGTATACAGAGTGGATTTTGTGAAAGAGGGCATTTTCCGTTTATTGGACGATTACAGACAACTTCACAGCGCGTCCTGGCCAAAGGGTACAAAACGGTACAAACGGCATTGCTCCGCGCAATGCGGTACCTGAACACTATCCTTACATGGTTCTTTAATGGAGTCTCCTCCGTGCCTCCCTATTGATTCTTCCGAGACTTCCGAGATCAGCATTGCAGTATTCATGGCGATCAGCGACAACCTAAGCTCGCGTGCCGAACGGCAGCGAGACGGCAAGAAAGCGATGTGCAAGGGGAAGGAAAATTACCCGACTCCCGCCTTTGCAGGGCGCGACAGGTTATGTGCGCTCGGGCCTTGAGCGGGTCCGAGACCGCATGCGAGAGGTGAAGCGGGAAAAGAAGAAATCAAAAGACTGGATACGTTGAATACGAGCCTACGGGGTTCTGCGCGACATTTTGGCGCATGTTGTGCCTCGCGTGCAAGAACGTTCTTGGATTCTTTTTAGTGAAACACTCGTTGACGCCGTGTTGTGTTCTTCCGCATCAAACGGGCGGAGAGACTGCGGGCGGGCGGTTTGTTTCGCACATTGTTGTTGTTGGGGCAAACCGAGTCAATGCACGGGCATGGCATGTTATGGCATTGTCAGTGTTAAAAGGGGATGATGTACATGGCATTGTTGGAGAAGGGACGTGGAGAGTCAGACAAAGGCAGGAGGGAAATTGCGATGGTCGCGATCTCGACTCTTCTTTTGTGACTTGGCCTTGAAATGGAACGTTTTCTGTCTAATCGAATTTTATTGGATTGAGTTTTCTTTGACTCGCTAAAAGGTTTTTTCTTGACCGCTGACTAGCTTGTGGAAGGCGAATGTCGTGAAGGGTTGGCATGGAGGTTGTGTTCGTCCGAGCCTCTGCCCTGCTTAGGTCCGAGATGGCGAGATGCATCGGCGATTGGGCAGCGGGCGGATCGGACAGGAAAAAAGAAATTGCGCATGGCATGAGCAGAGGGCCGTTTCGAGGCGTGCGGGTGGAACCATGGCAATGGAAAAAAGGGCCCTAGGACTTTGCATGTATGTGAAGCCAAGAGGGTGAAGGGTAGCACGGCTTGCGGATCTTACGAGATGCCGAGGGCGCCTATTCAGACGACGCCGCGAGGGTACGGCAGAGTACAGTCAGCGGTGGCTTTTTCGCGCAGGTCAAGGTGGAGGGGTATGATTGGTAAGTAGCGTGCAAGAGGTGAGAAAGTTTAGCAATGCAGTGGAGCCCGGGGCGGACAGGTGGTGAAGGTGCAGCGCATGTTTCGTGTTCCTTTGAGGCTGGGGGTGGTGGCCTTGTGAGACGATGATGACTGCGACAGCGCAGCGAGGCTTACCAGCAGATGCCCGTATCTCGTAAAGTAAACAAGACGACAGGGATGTGCAGGTCGATGGTCGTCGATTGGGTCCAGTTCCTTCACGATGTGCTTGACGGCACGATGCCGTCACCTGTATGTTGATGTCATGACAGGCTCACCAAGCGTCTAACGCACCGCCGCATTGCGCTGGCGCCAGTCCAGCAGCAGTTTTGCAGAGACGGGCCCTGTAGGCGATGACAAAGCCATGCGTGACAGAAGACCGAGAAGCGTGATAGCGATGAGTGCTGCAAGGGTCACATGCATGCAGATACAGCCCTGGAGTAGGCTGCCTGCCTGTCGCATGTCAGCAACCATGGTCGAGGTGAAGGGTCGTGTCTTCACGGCCACGATGCCATGTGTGTATGCATCACAGAGTTCAACCACGGCTACGCAGACTGCTTGGCTCGGCCGTGACGGGCAGCGGGTCGAAACATTGATGCGAATCCTGGCGCAAAGACACAGCGTCGTCGCGTTGTAAACGAAATTGAGAGCACTTGGGCCCTAACCAGCTCCGTCGTAGCCGCTCACGTCGCGGACCTAATTTGACCCCCCCGGCACTGTGCAAGCCTCAGCCATCCGGAGCTTCCACTAAGTTACGGCTGCCTTTCATAATCCTTAGTCCGCCCTCTTCCGCTTTCCTTATCCTCTTGTTCGCCAGCCCACCGTCTTGCGCAGCTCCAAAAGACAAGACAAGACCCGACGACTCTCCCCGCCTTTGGTTGCCTGTCTGTTGTTGCCCTGTAACTGCGCCACAGACCATCACCCCCCCCCCGAGCGACCGAGCCCTTTGTCACCTCACCACCATTTCACCATGACCAACAAGAGCTACCTCGCATTCCTCGACAACAGCACCGCGTCCGACATGCTTTCGCGCACCTCGGTCCCCGGCCTGTCCGCCTTGCCCAGTCTTATCCCCCATCGCGTGCGTAGAAAGTGGAGGGCTACCAAGTCGCGCATACGCAGCCGCCAGGCCCCAACGTCATCCATCGCCGGCCTCGAGACGTCCTTCTCGCCCTCGGACACGCTGCGTTCGCTACGCACCCACTCATGGTCCATATACGATGCCCAATACCTCTTCCTCGCCATCGTCGCCATCTTCTCCCTCTCCGTGAGCGAGGCGCCTGGACCCTTTGCCAAAACATTCATAGCCACGCTGCTCATGACCGGCCTGTGTTTGCCCATTACACGACAATTTCTCCTCCCATTGCTCCCTACTCTTACCTGGCTGTTCCTCTTCTCGAGCTGCAAGTACGTGTCATCTTTCTTATCCAACACGTAAACTCGCAGAACGAGCTAACACCCGCCCCAGATACATTTCCGCCGACTACCGCCCTGCAATCTGGGTCCGCGTCCTCCCCGCTCTCGAGAACATCCTCTACGGCGCCAACTTGAGCAACATTCTGTCCGCACACAAGCACACAGTCCTTGACATCCTCGCCTGGTTGCCCTATGGTGTCGTACATTACGTATCGCCTGTTATTGTCAGTGGATGCATGTTCATTTGGGGCCCCCCTGGCACCCTACCTATCTGGGCGCGTGCTTTTGGCTACATGAACATCACAGCTGTTCTGATCCAGATCGTCTTCCCATGCTCGCCTCCTTGGTATGAGAACTCATATGGATTGGCCCCCGCCAACTACAGTATCCCTGGAGACGCTGCGGGACTCAAGGCAATCGACAAGCTGACTGGAATTGATCTCTACACTTCCACCTTCCTCGCCTCACCCATGGTCTTTGGTGCTTTCCCCTCATTACACTCCGGATGGGCTACCCTGGAGACGCTGTTTATGGGACATGTCTTCCCCAGGTTGTTCCCCGTATACGTTTTCTATACCATGTGGCTCTGGTGGTCAACTATGTACTTCTCTCACCACTACGCCGTTGACCTGGTAGCTGGCAGTCTGCGTAAGTACCTGTTTTTACTCCCATCTCTACCATGGCTAATCTTTCCTAGTTGCTGGTGTCTGCTACTTCTTTGGTCGCGCCAAGTTCCTCCCTCGCCCGCAATCCGACAAGGAGTTCCGATGGGACTACGACTACGTCGAGATTGGCGACCCCATGGACGGTGCTGGCTACAGCATGCTCGACATCTACGAGGAGTTCCAGCCTCACTCCGACTCTGACGACTGGGCCAGCGGCTCTTCCTCGTCTTACTCTACTGGTGGCAGGAGCCCCATCGGCGCTCGATCCCCTACCGACGACTCTCAAAGCCTCTGGGAAGGCGATACAGTTGGATCCGATACCGAACACACCCTCCGCAAAGATTAAGACCACGACTATCTATATATACATCTCTCGCCACAAACTTATACTCATCCCTACGTACGCACATCACCTCACGTCCTCAGGTGACGGCCTTTACGACCTATGCATTGGAGCGGAGTTTTATTGTTTGCGAAGCATTTCAGCGATCCATTCTATAATCATGGATTTGACGGCATAGAATCACTGGCGTCGGCAGAAGACGCTGCAGCATGCATCGGGGAACCACACCATTCTTCTCGTGGATTTCCCCTTCTAGCGCCACAGTGCGCGGTTTATTGTACCCCTTTTTGATACCCAAGTCGGTCGCTTACTTTGGCTTATTGGCACTGTAAAAAAACTTTACAGTCACATTGTATACATTCGCTCCAGCGCCCGGCCGCCGCCCCTTTCTGCTTTTTTTTTTGAGCGGCTGGATGTCTGCAACAGTGGGATTTGACGATGTTGAGGGCATGAATTGAAGGAACACAATGCATTTGTTTCAAATGCTGCATTGATCTCGCCATCACTATGGGCGGTATGAATGGCTGGTTTGAGCCTACAGCCTCGGAATGGGAATATTATTATTAGTGTAATGCTTAATGGAATGGAAACGGTTAATGAACCAATATCCTGGACAACACTGTGCATCAGTTGTAGTGCTGTATCAGTGAATTCAGCATGGAACACGGAAGGAGTACTGTTCTTGCGTAGCGGTTTAGCCACTATCAGCCCTCGATTTGTATACATGTCACTTGTATCAAGCCATGTTCCCCAGCGCCAGTAGATGCTCACTAGACACACTTTTCGCTAACACAAAACACTTGAACCCATGTTTCCCCCCCAGGGCAGCTACTTAGAACAAGTCCAACAGGTCCTGGTTGCTCTTCTTGCTTGGCTCGCTGCCTAGTTGCTGTGTTGGTGGAGGGGGCTGGCTTGTTTCCATGCTCATGCTTGCGAATCCATTCATAATATCGTCGTTGCTCATCTGCGTAGCCTGTGCAGGTGCTGCGGCACCACCACCTCCATCTCCAAACAAGCCTAGCAGATCGTCCATGTTTGATTGCTGTTGAGCAGGCGCGTTAACTGCAGGAGAGGCGACACGTTGGGGGGTTCCTGCCAGTCCTTCAAGACCCGATGAGCCGTGTGTAGGTTGCTTCTGCATTGAAGCGGGCGCAGAGCCGTCAAAATCAATGTCCAAGAGGTTCTCCACATTCGAAGGCGCTTGTCCACTGACTGCTGCTGCTGCCGCCGCCGCTGCAATCGGATTTTCTCTTGCTTCTTCTTGTTGCTCTTCAATGGCAGCTCGTTGCATCGCCTCTGCGCCAAATCTGCCCTGTCCAAGGAAAGCCTCTGGAGGCTTGTGGTACACCGAAGCCAGTGTTGACAGTTCTGTAAGCAGAGTCTCTAATAGCTGAGGAGGCAATGATCGTATTGTGGAAGAGATTGGGGGTTTGTCGGAGAGGACAATCTCCTTGGTGATCTCGGGATCACTGGACAGTAGTCGCCAATAGACGTATGCTCGATCTCGTATATCTGGGTTGTCATTGTCTGCAGTCGCGGCCTGGAGGACCTTCGTCACGAGGCCCTGTGCCTGATCTGGCTTCTTCAAGAAGAGCTTGACAACTGCTGTGAGTATTTGAAGTTGTGTCTGGCGTATATTAGCTCTTGTAGTACTCCGCCATGCATTTTCAGACATACTTGAGTGAACTCCTCGGCAAATGTGTCGACAAAATTCGACAGGATCTCGCCGGCATTGTTGATCTTTTCCGCGTACTCTCCAACGATCCAGATAAGAGATGCTCTGGCGTTCGGCTCATCCAACTCATCTATGCATTGGCAGAGTGTTGGTATTATGCCTTCATAACCAGGGTATTTGCGGAAGATATCTTTGATGACCACAATCGCCTCCTGAACGACGTAGTTGACTTTGGTGTTGATGAGGTCCAGCAGCGTGTTGACGCATTTTTCGCTTGCGCTCTCGATCTTGATCGCGACCTGTCCTATGGCCTTGACTGCTCGTCGCACGAAGTCCATATCCACTTCCATGGCGTACTCCTTCAGCTCGGCCAGTAACTGATCGACATTCTTGTCATTCGCTATCCGCACCATGATTTCCAGCTTTTGCATCTTCAGGTAGGGCGGGTCGTTGTATTTGCAGAAGAAAACGCGCATCTCCTTGCTGAGAATGTCTGGCTGTTTCTGGAGCAGTAGGTCGATGTTCCGGAGCGCAACATATTGTACTTCGGGGGCAGAAGATACGAGTGTAACTACAGTTTGTTAGTGTTGGCCTGTTATGCCTCTATCATCAACGTACCTAGTGGCGGAGCCATCTTCTTCGCATACGACTTCATCATCTCAGGAGATATATTTCGCATATGCAGGAACACAACCTTGACGGCTGCCAAGACGACACTTGGATTGACGTGCTGAAACTGTGGAACAACTCTTTCGCAAATGTGCTCTGCCTCCTTGATATCCACTGGCTTGTAGTCGGCGAGAGTGGTAAGGAGAGTAACTCTGCCCCACTCTGTACACTCGTTCAGCGCCAAAAGCATCTTCTTCAGTTGTTGTGACGAAATAACGAGAGCTTTGGTTTCCGGTGCTGCCTCCTGAATCTCTACCAGTGCAGTGACCGAGTTTGCGACTACCATGGGGTTTGGGTCGCCAACAAGTTCCTGCAGCTGTTCCAGGAAACCGTTCTCGATGCACATGTTGGGTGCGAGATCGAAGAGCTTAGCTACGCACAGGGCTGCGGTTTTCCGTACATATGGAGATTCGTCTCTGAGTGTTTTCCGCAAAGGTTCCTCCATGTAATCAGTCATCTTATCCACGCGGATGCAGCCCATAGTTCGGATCGCCAATGCTCGTATGAGTGGGTTTGCGTCTTCGGAGTCTTGTACGAAAGTGTTTACAGCGAGAATGCAGAGGTCGGGATGTGATTTTGCGTAATTCCTGGTGCGTGTTGTCAGTTTCCGCTTGATGCGCAGCCGGACTTGTACGCACATGAGGTATAGATATACCAGCTTCTTCTGGTCAAGGTCCCCAGTTGCAATGTTCTTCAGAACGTCAGGGAAGAGCGCCGAGACATCCTTGCCCAAAGTCATGGACATGATAGTCTTCTGAATGGCTTCTTTGCTGACATAGTCTTAGTGTTTGCTCCGAATGCGTCTTATGGTTCCAGGTGCTCACCGTTCGTAGGCATATTGAGAACTAGGGCAATAGTCAGTTATGAATAGCTAAACTGGTTCTTGGGTGATCATACACCAGACCTGCCCTCAGTTCAAACGTCTCTCCCTTGCGCGGGGGCGCAAATGCGCCTCTTATCCTGTTGACAGCCATCTTTGTAGGACCGCAGAGGCCAGTCGCTCAGCCAAACCCCTCCGACTCCGGCTCCTAAGGTCTGCAACCTGTGCTGCAAGGGGCGGGGTATTCGAGGCGCAGTCTCTTGAGATTGTCTACAAGGGCATGCAAAATTCGGCGTCTCTGGGTTGGGCGGCGTTGCAGGGTGATTACGCGGGTTATGTCAATGCTCGTGGAGCTTCGCGATTGCCAGACTGCCACCTTGAGGGTGTGGTCCGTGCGCGATTGGGGCCCCATCCATGTATCGCATCTAGCCCAGCCCGGAAGTGCTTCGACGCTCCCGCTGCGCTCACAGTTGCACCAAAACATCAACATGGTAAGTTGAGCATAGCAGCCCGTCTACACTGCAACTCTAATGCGACATGGTAGCCTTCCAATCTACCGAACCTACGTCGACTGTTCGTTGAGGCGCGCAGCGAGTCCGAGGAGAGCGCGTACTCGAGGAAAGCTGTATGTTCTCTCCAGCTTTGTCAATCTTGGTGATATCGTCAAGCTGATGCGAACTCAGTTCTACAATCTTGCCATATTCATGTCATCAATCGCCGTCTTTAGCTTGGTTGCACAGCGAATGACTTCTGCAAAGGCCATCGGCTGAGTACCTGAAGGGCCAATCACCACATAACGAAAGTCCTACCGAATTCATCTTGTCAAAAACAAGTGTAATGCTCCTCACACAGCCCAAAGGAGTAAGCGATTTCTGGTGCCCTTCGTAACGGAGCGACCATGTGGCCGGCGCTTACACGGACAGCCATTTCCCTTGGCGCTTGCAACATAGATGTCGCAAAATTAGATGATACATTCTCCAATCAATCTAACGCCGGGTGAATCAAAAGCCCACCGCAAGTGAGTGAGGCACGGAATGATACCATTCCTCCTGTCTATTCCTGGTGTGCATGCATGGGACCCTGAATTGCGGCGAAGCAGCATCATACCGTATCGATAGGAGGACATGTTGCTTCATACTTGTCGACATACGCTTCCTGTGAGGTAAGAATCTTCTGTATTCCAGACATGTTTCATTCCGCGGCCTCGAAATCACCAGAGCAGGAAAACGACACCAAAGACAGGTCCCGGGCCCGAGCATCAACAAACTTCTATGACCGGATCGTAACTGATTGGTGGTGGTGGGAGATACTCAGCTGGATTATCAGTTTCGTCTGTGTGGCGGCTATAGTAGGTGTACTGTGGTATTACGATGGTAGAAGACAGCCAGAACACTTGGTAACAGGCATCACACTCAACGCATACGTTGCAGTCTTCGCTGCGGTTTCAAAAGCAGCATTAATAATGCCTGTTTCCGAAGCGATCAGTCAGTTGAAATGGATCTGGTTTCAAGAGGAGGCTGCACTATGGGATTTTCAACTTTTCGACGCGGCCAGTCGTGGGCCTTGGGGTGCGACTATGCTACTTATCAGAACGCGATGCAAGTAAGTCCTGGCAATGTACCCAACACTAGACTTTTACATACTAGTACCTATGTAGGCATGTTGTATCCTTGGCTGCCTTGATCACCATACTAGGCCTAGCATTCGAGCCTTTCTTCCAACAAATCGTCACCTATCCCGATCGTATGATAGTCGTCGGAGGTGGCTCGACATGGGCCGCATCAACTTTTGTACCCCAATCTCTACCGAGCACTCGCCGGCTTGGTTTTGACAACAATAACAGAGACCCGACAATGACTTTGGCTATCGACACCGTCCTCAACACCCCAGAAATTGCTATGAGGCCCTCCACGGCGCAGTGCTCCACGGCGAACTGTACATGGCCTTCGTATGTCACACTTGGCGTCGGTCACACATGTCAAGACGTGTCTTACCTGCTCCAGTATATATGCGAAAACAACACGGAACTAGCCTTGCCACAACAAGTCGTCTCGGCGGTGGATCCCTGTGGCTACAAGGTGAACGACACGTTCGTTGCCGGCTCCGAAGGTAGTCTCGGTTTTCGCAAGGTGACCAGTTTATCGACAATGGTAGTCGAAACATTTGACTTTGAATCTAGTGGCAACCACTTCTGGAACACCACAGCTTTTCACAATTCGACTCTGCCTATTTTGGATTTCTATATTGCTTATACGCCAGGAGGTCCAGAAGCGGCGCTCAGAAACCAGACACCAGTATTGCTGGAATGTTTACTCACATGTAAGTAAAGTCGCGTCTGCAGGTCGCATGCATCGTCAGCTGATGCGAGTGATTGGTTCAGGGAATGCCCACACTATTGATTCCCGCTTTGTCAACGGTATGCTACAGGAGAGGATACTAGATACTGTCGTCATACAGCCCCAGTCATTGAACAATAGCACCGCCTGGCCTATAACCGCTATATTGGGCTCGAACAACACATTCAAAATTCTCAATGGGACCACTCAACTCCTCCGCGATTGGATCTTGTCGGATTTTCCCTTTTATCTGGATCAAGATCCCGCATACGATTTTGAGCTCTACTCTGGCATGTGGAACTTTCATCAGATCCCACCCTACGACTTCGAGAGCCATATCTCCAACCTTACGAAAGCTATAACAAACGACATGAAATCACGGTCTTCTGGTATGAAGCTCATAGAAGGAATAGCGTGGAGCTCGGAACGTTTTGTGAAGATCCGCTGGGCCTGGATTACGTTGCCCGCCGCATCGCTCATAGGAAGCTTGGTATTAATATTGGCAACAATTGCACAAGGAAGAAGGACCAAGGTGCCGCTATGGAAATCATCTTCTTTGGCCACATTACTACATGGCTTGTCGGAAGAAACCAGAAACCTTGTTGATCCAGATCTGTCTCCCAGTCAGGTTGAAGCCATGTCCACAAGATTAAGGGTACGACTCTCGTCTCGGAGTGGAAGCGCGCGGTTGATAGCTTGAGGACGAAAATAGTCTGGTCGTCTATGCAGAATTGTTCGAGAATCTGGTTCGACCTGTCACGCCTTTGGAGGGCTGCACCTGCACGCTTGATTTCTGCTTCCTTAATGCATAAAACTGTGTCATAAGATCCCTCCACTTCACACTCCATATCCAAGTCTTTCGTTCCTCGTCCCAGCTTATGTGTCCAGGCACAGTCATCGCTATGCCCGTCAGCTGGTTCCGAGTGAAGTGCACCCATGACGTAGCTGCCTGTAGTCGTTCTAGTGGCAGCACAGAAGTGTCTTTGAGTTCTTCGACGCTTTTTGCGTTTGTTCCTTCTTTGAGTACACTCGGCGAACGGAACAGGGCATAGCTTTCATCGGCATTGAGGCCGTCGAACGACATGCTCAATTGCGCGCGGGGTATTGGCGCACCTGGCCAAAGCAGAGCTCCAGAAGTGGGGTCGCGGCGCGGAAGTGAAAGCGTGATGGCGAACATTGGGAGGTAGGTCGACGCGAACACTCGTTCAACAAGATCCTTGAATTGCCGTGACACATGCCGTACGGCATTCCAGAGGTGATTTGCTTCGTAAATGCTGGCTCGTTCGAGGATATGCAGCCATAATTCAACTGGTAAGATAGATGTGGGTGCGCACACTGCAAATAAATTCCCAGCCTGATTGGATGTTTCGCTCGTCATTCTGCTTTGCTACTGTTTAAGAACTTGTGAAGGAGGTATGATCAGCACCATATATCCACGGAGCATCACTGTTGAGTCATCCGCGGTTGGCCTTACCCAACACAGCACATGCTAGTTTTGCTAGGCGCTGACACATGCACAAAGATGCGGAAAGGAGTTTCTACAGACAGGGAAAAATATATTCCATGTCCTATGTGAAGGTTGATGTGTCTGAGGGAAGGCTGATCTACTCCGCTTACAAGTAGCGGCATGTCTCGGCTGGCTCGTCCCCACTATGTGTCGCAAGTGAAAAAGTTGGCAGTACCCGAAACACACGTGCCTGAGCAGTAGCCTGAGACAGCAACGTCTCGTCGCCTTTAATGCGTCACAGGCCCATGAAGCCTAGGGCTTGGAATGTCATGCACATGCTAGCAGAACTGAGGCCCTCGTGCCCCAAGGTAAACTGGAGATCGCGTTTGTCATTACAACTTCAATAATTTTACATTTCATAACTGTAACTAAGCGCCAGAGAAGGAAATAGCGCCCTTAGAACCAGTCCAATGAAGCGCTCCGCTTCAATCTCCGTAGAGTGACCTTCGGTGCCCTTCTAGGGACAGAAGTACGTTCTATGTTAACTACAGTAATAGAAGTTGTCATCAAGAAGGAAAGCACCATTACCGCGTGTACCGCCTCAAACCCCAAGCCCCATCATCTGTCTCATCCCTCTTGAGGCGTTCAAGCAACAAAGTCGCGGGCGGCGAAGCTGCGGCGGCCGAATCGTCCACGTCCGCGTCCGCGACCGAAGCCACCAAAGCCGCCCTGGCCTCCTTGCTGACCTCCCTGTTGACCTCCTTGCTGGCCACCTTGCTGACCGCCTTGTTGACCGTTGTTCTGGCCGTTGTTCTGGCCGTTGTTCTGTCCATTGTTCTGTCCATTGTTCTGACCGTTGTTCTGGCCGTTGTTCTGGCCGTTGTTGCCGCCATTGTTGCCGCCACCGTTGCCCTGGCCGACAGTGAATCTCACACAGTCATCCTGGGGACCACGTTGAGCGACTGGCATGACAACAGGCTGATGGTTGCTAGCAGAGGTGATCGAGCAGACACGGTAGTTACCAGCAGGAAGACCAGCATCAAGAGTAGCAGTGAGAAGACCGTTGCCATCGCCGGCGTCGTTGATACCCTTGAAGAAAGCAAAGGTCTGAGCGTCAGGAGGGTTGTTGGCATTGTTGCCCATATCCTGAACGGAAATATGTGTATGACCAACAACTTTACCTCCCTGAAGGGTCTGCGGGGCAGCGTAGTAAGTGTTGTCGGGGTTCGTGAAAGATCCCGCCTGCAAGTTGGTGATCTTCACCGAGAAGTCAATCTTCTGATTCTCTTGCTTGACGTCGTTGTTCTGGGGATCAGTGAAGACCGCCGAGATCATTTGGCCGACAGCAGGGATATCTCCCATGACTATTTGTGATTAGTGACTGGGTTCACTGTTACGCTTGTTCAAAACTTACCAATACCGTTGCAGGAGCCTTCCTTAACTTGGAGACCATTGGTGAGGGTCTTGCCTTGACAGAAGTTAATGAAGTTGGCTTGGTCACTTACAAAGTTAGTAGGGAACTTGTAGATGAATCTGTGTGCCAACATACGTGAGAGACGCGGCTTGTCCGTCCTCTTGACCCTGATCGAATCCGTCGGATTGACTGGCCGTCTGAACGACATCGGCGTTGAGGGCCAAACCACCACCATTACCACCGTTGTTACCACCATTGTTGCCGCCGTTGTTGCCGCCGTTTTGACCGTTGTTACCGCCGTTGTTACCGCCGTTGTTACCGCCGTTGTTCTGGCCGTTGTTCTGGCCATTGTTGCCGCCATTGTTGCCGCCATTGTTGCCACCATTTTGTCCATTTTGGCCGTTGTTCTGGCCTTGACCACCGAATTGGGCGTTGGCAACACCGGCCGCAAGCAGCAAAGGGACGAGGGTAGAGAAGCGCATGATGAATGCTCGAAGAACAGAAAGTAAGACTGTTAAAAAGAGTGGAGTCCGGCTAGCGGTGGATTACAAAAAGGCAGACACGTTCAACGTAATCTGAATGAATAATTAAGAGGAAGAGAAAGGAATGTAACCCTCAACTGCAGAACCGGAGTGTAATAGGACAAGCGACTGATTGATGGTGAGGACGCCAGATATCTTGGAGGAATCGCATTGCCTTAAGTCCTTGGCGACGTAGAAGGCAAAGAGTAACCTAGTAAGGCGGCTCGTGGTTCCTCGGGCATGAAACCCACGATGAAGGCAGAGACGTCTCAAACCCACTCATACCGGCATCTCTAAGGTCGCGCACGGGGCGCTGGCATCAACTGGCGCCCTACTATTGACTGAGGCTGTCATGGCAGCCTCTCCGGAACAAGAGTACGCCAGGCATTGAAGAGGAGGTCCGAGAAACGGTTCGTGTATGAGGTGTGCAAGAACCACGTTTGCGCTAACCCGAAGAGGATACGCTAAGCGCCTCCTAGGACGAAGCCAGGCATCCTCTAAATTTTGAGGAGGGCTTGCTCAAACTCCTATGATGCCTTGCCATGCGCCATACGACAACCGAATGCACAGCAGGAATGTGTGACTGATTCCGATAGCCGTTCGTCACCACCGCAACGCCAGCGGGGAGATTGGTTTACTTGCTGTGGCCCACTCTGTGACCCACGCCTCCCCCAGAGCCTCACTGGAATGTCGGAGGTGCTGGGCTACACAGACGAGTAAGGTTAGTTTGTGCTGTCACTGTCTCGATTTTGACGGGCGTGACAGGTGTCAGCAGGACTACGGAGTAACAAGTACGATCCTGCGCCGTATCATTGAACGCACCTTGTTGGATGTCGTAATCAAGTTGCTCTTCTTGCGAAGACCTTCAATGACGGCAGTCCTTCATCCGAGATCCATAACAATCGGATGTGCACGATGTTTGCTGTTTGGGATGTTATCGCTGCTTGCCAAGTCGTCTTACCACCCGGTCAAGACGACTCACCAGCTCCACTATGAACGTGGCGCCCAGGCAAGAAATCAGCACATTCCTCCACCCATTAGCAGAATTGTGTATACCCATTCTCGAAGATCTGCATCTTGCTCCATCGACTCTGCAAGCGAAGATACCCCTTTGGCCCACATTCAACGACCGTGCTCCCGGCAAATCGGTCTGAGACAGCTCATGTCAAACCCCGCTACAGGTTCGGTCCTCGAGCGTTGTCGAGGATTACGGAATCAGGATTTCCCTTTGTAGTTCGGTGTTTGCGGGTCAGTCGGCATGCCTGAGGCAAGACGTGTCTTCAGGCATAATGGATCTACATCTGTAACCAACACCCGCAGAAACTTCTCAGGTTCCATTTTCTCTAACGTGAGCCCTCGATGTTGGGTTCTTTGATTAACAATTTGAAGCTCCCTTACACGCGTGCTTTCGGATCTATCGTCTTCCATAGTCTCAGATGGTCAATCGGCCCTCCATTACCTGCACCGCGCCGCCTTCGAGAAACAGCTGCGATACAGCTCCGTCCTCGGTCATCTCGACTTCTATGAAGATCTCGCTTCTTCTGCCCATCTCTACGCCCTGAATAATTTCATACTTGAGCGTCTTAGATTCTCTTCCTGCTGTCAACGAAAGATATGCTGCCAAATCACTGGCGGCGCTACCAGTGGCCGGATCTTCCAATGGACCCTCGATCATCCTGGTTCTTACTCTGGTCACGCCCTCATTGCTTTTTCCCGTCCGAACAAAGAAATATGTCCCGATGAACGTCTGGTCCCAGCCTTGATCCAGGCCTTGAATTTTAAGAGACTGGCCAGCTAGCGATACCATACCCAGAGCCTCTTCACTCTCCAGTTCGACTAGGACAAAGGTCATACCTTTGACAATTGAGACAATAGCAAAGTCGTCTTTGACCCCGACCTTGCCTTCCTGGTGAGCTTCTGCCAGTTGAGGCTGCAGTGCGAAAAGCTCGTTCTTGGTGTATCTCTTCTCGTGGATATGACTGCACTAATCAGCTAACATACGTCCATTGGAGTTCAGGTCGCCGAATTGACTCAGGCGGTTGGTCTGGAACACTGGGTGCTAACACTGGTAGTTCAAGCTCCAAAGCCCGCCGACGAGAACAGTTCTAAACACAGCACGTACACGTCATGAGGAATGGAAGCCTTTGCCGTCATCTTGCCGCAATCGTACCGCAGTCCAACATCTCCGGCTTTAAGGTTGAAGCTCGCTTCCATGACGCCGCTGTGGATACCACGCTCCCGAGCCGTCCTTTCTAAAGCATAACACGCCGTGCCCACAGTCGGGTGACCCGCAAACGGTAGTTCCTGCGATGTCATGAAGATATCGACGGTCCATTTGTCCTCCGTCGCACCATCCGCATTCTCGTGTAAGAAGGTGGTCTCTGATAGGTTGAACTCTCGCGCGATGGTTTGCTTTTGTTCCTGAGTTAGTGTCCGGTCGTGCGGGATGCGAACGATGGCCAGCGGATTGCCGCCGTATGGCTGGGACGTGAACACGTCCACGGTCACAAATTCGAGCTGAGAGGATGAGGCCATGTTCAAAAGATCAAGGGATATTTGTTCTGAGATGGACAATTGATGGTTTGAGTCCAGGACTACTGTTGCTGCGTGAATACATGGGTCAGATGACTCATAAAGCACCTGCAAACTGCATCGAAGAATCTAGCAACCCCGCCATGATGTTGACTCAAGTTTTGAGATGCTCTGAACCAGAGGCTGTTCTAGGTGATTTGAGATATCCTTTGCCGTGATATCCACCGATCAGTTCGATGGAGGTTTTGCGGCAACTTGAGAAAACGGTACCAAAGTTGACACGCCAAGCATAGCGAGAAGGCTCGAGAGACGTACGCATGGCGTCGGGAAGTGCCTTTGTCATAGCACAGCCCTCGGTCTTGGCGTACCTTTTTTGTGACCGATGAGGCTGCGATCGTGAGGCTGTGCAGTTGCTGTTCAGATACCAACCAAGGATCATTAGCTCCACATTACGTGTCCTTCCGGTATGCCCGAGGTATCCTGACGCCGAACAGTAAGGTCAACCCTACCGTATGCATACAGCAGTGTACCTGGATAATATCGCATTCAAGTTCTCAGCGGGCCTGCCATTGGCACACACGTCCAGCAATGTGGTAATGAGGAAACTGAGTTCTGGTACTCCTTGGCCGGACCTCGACTAGTTGTCCCCGCGACGACCCCTCGTGTTACGGAGAAGAGCGAGTGTGGTGGAAACCATCGCGTTAAATCTGATGAATCGGTCACAAATTCTTGTAACCGTACCAAAGTTCATGGCACACATCTACGATTTCAAGGTCGAGCCCGATTACGCCACCAAGAAATGGCATGACTGTATGGCGACTGCGATGGCAAGAAAGTGATTTGAAATTCAGCAATTTGTTCGCCTCAGCTACTCGCCATCTCCGTGGCGCACTGAAGTTGATCTTCAATGCGCATGATTGTTGCTGCAACAATGGTGTAGCTCGCAAAAGAGGAGTAATCTTGGGCTGCGACGAATGGGAAAACTGCAACGTTAAGTGTGGAGACAAACTGGGGTGCTGGTCATGGTCTGCCAGTCGCGAGCAGATCGACGCGGAGATTATTTTCAACGGTCTTTATCGATTCATACTCGCGTCCTGGCATTGTTGGCTAGCTGCGTGTGTACCTGCGCGGTTGGGGATTGTTGAGGATACCTAGGTACACACCGGCATTAGTACCCGCGGCCGACTGGCCTGCGAGGAGATTGTCAGACGGTGGCCAGCGCAAACGACACAAGAGTTTGCCAATCTGGCGATGTGCAGTATGATCGCAGTGTTTCGATCGATGAAATGAGACAATCTCGGCTGGTGCCATGATGGGGATGCCCTCGACCTGATGGTGCGTGGTTTCCAAGCGAGGAGGTGCACTGATACTAGTAGGACTCAGGACTCGGGACTGCTAGGACGATCCTTCGCGTTGCCAGTACGAGTCCGATCTCGAACGCGTGCCATGTTGCTGCACCGCGGCCCAAGGCCATTGATGTGCATACACTTGTGGTTGTAGTTGAAGGGGTTCAATCACACCTTTCGGACACTGTCCGACGGTGGGATGAAGACTGCAGGCTATGTCCTAATTGATAGTGTGCGGAAGCATTAATTTTAACAACATGTCAGACGCGTCGCGTTAGTTGTTAATGTCAGCGCTGTTATGGAGCTTTTTTGTGACATGAGCAATCTTTTATCGGTGCTGCAAACACCCCACTCGGCTGCAGGCTTGCACAACGGGGGCAGGGGGCGTGGGAGGTGATAAGTTCGCATGGCTGCAGCTCCGAGTCTGCAAGGTACATCTCGTTTGCGACTGTGCTGAAGGTCAAGGGTATGAGTCGTAAGTCTAGGCTACAAGAGCCAACTTTCTGAGGTTTCATCGTCAACGGCGCTGCTACGCCGCATTGCTCAGAGGCTCGCTACACATTGGCACAAGCTGACGAGACGATGCGGACCAGGAAGCTTTGGGGCAGAGTTCACAAGTGGCCAGCTATGGTCATGGTTCTGTGGGATACTGACGTGCGAGGCGAAAGAGTTTTTGCACTGGGTTCTGTGAAGGATGGAGGTGACAATTGCCGGTACAGGCTTATCCTGGCATTAGGACGACAGTCGTCGATGGTGAATTGAGTTAGGGCGGCGCAGAGATGGCGTACGGTTGGGCAGACGTAACGCGACTCAGTGAAGCAGAGGGTCCGCAGCTGTCCGACCCTCTGCGCCGTCAGTCAAGGGCTAGCTTGGGACACAATTGCTTTCTGCGTGTTTTCGACCATGGTACAGCTGCTGCCACATCGAGGGTGACGTCTCAGGGTCTTCAGGGGAGGCCTAGAGTTGCACGTCGTCCAAGTGCGAATGTGTAGCGTCAGCCATGGATTGGAGCAGGGAGCAGCGTGCCTGACTCGGGGCGGGGTCGGCAGGGAACTTGATGCACTCGAGCTGAAAGGCGTTGCCGCCGGCGCGCTAGGCCAAGGTCGTCGTGGTTCTCGGGGAAGCTGGAAGCCCCTGTCACTGACGCCACTCATGCAAGTGCGAAAGCGACCATCACGGGCCCTCGCTCAGGGATCATGAGAAGAAGCGTTGGCTAGAGCAAACGCAAAACCCTTTCTGTATACCTACCCGACGTCTGCCCGTTCCAGCCCTCTGCGACCGTCTGCTCCTCATAATCCCGCCCTACACCACCACCGTCTCCGCTCGAGCATCGTCGTGTTTGTCCTTCTTTTTTGTTTACCGTGCCTGTACCGTGCCCATTCCAAATCCCTGCCTGGTCGCACATGCCCACGCCGACGACACTGGACATTTGTCACTTGCAACACAACTTATAACTTGGACCATCATCTCCGCCACACCACTTGCCTGGAGCGACTCGCCGTGCATCACCCAGAGCTGTAGCACCGTTTATCTGCAGCATTGCCGTCGTGCTTTCTTCTCTTGCCTCCTTTGCTGGTTGCGCCTTCCTTTCTTCTCGTAAACGCTACGACCACCCCACCAAAACCCCACGCGCCCGCTAGCTCTCTCCCACGGACCGCCTTCTCCTCTTTGACAACACCCTCAAACTCAACTCCGCTTCCCCGGGCATCGCTTTCCGTCTTTGCTTCTCTGCGATACGCGCAGGTTTAGCGCTGCGCCGCCGCCTGGACCCTTTGATTGCCCTGCCACGCTCACGTGCTCAGCACTATGGCATCAAATCATTCCCGGAGCGCGTCGGATGAGAACCACAACTCAATGGCCTACGTTCTCGAACACGTCTTACAGTACCCCGGAAGCTACGACATCCCCCTCAAAACCATGTACGAGCTCAACCGTGTGGACCGCGCCCAACCATTCCCCAAGAGCCTGGCCAAGTCCGGCAGCACATCACCAGTCTCCAGCCAATTTGCATGGAACCCTACCGAAGCTGCCGCCATGAGCTTTACCTCATCTTTGATGAACCAGCTCAAAGCATTACCCACACGGACCAGCGCACTCCCACCCGCTTTCATCGTAAACTTTGTCAGCCGGACCTTCATGCCTGAGCCGGCTGATGTTGACTGGAGCCAAGCCTTGACAGCTCTCGACTACCTCAAAGATCTCGAGACGCGCCGACGGAGGGAAATGGCCACCACCTTCGAGGCCCTTGATGTCCACAGGGACACATGGGATGCCGACATGGCCCGTGTAGCCGAAAAGGCACCCGGCATTGCACTCTGGATCAATAATCTTGAGGGCAAGAACCGAAAAGCTGAGTCGTACTACGCTCAGCTCTGGGTCGGACTCCGCCGATGGGTAAGCTATGCCACTTCTTTCACACGTGATCTACTAACATCCGCTGGCAGATCATGATCAATCACCTTTCAGATGAAGAGTTCAACAAGCTCAACTGCATCAGCTATCTCAACACCCTCTTCCCTCCTGTTCACGGCCAGACCAAGCTTCCTTCACAGTTCCTGAACCACGAAGCCCTGAAAGAAGAGCGCCAGATCTTCTTCGAACTGATTAGTCAGGTGCAAAAGAGAGGACCTGATGTCTTGCTGCCCCTGATCAACAGGGACAAACGTCCCGAAGATCGAACCGGTTGGCCCACTGTCCAGAGGATTGTCGACAAGTACCTCCGAGTTGCCCAGAACATGATTCAAGACTGCATAGCCACCCATGGACCCGAGTCTTTTGATCGCTACATGAACGGACCCGGAAAAGAGAAGAAGCATGATTCTGGTGTGAGCTTTGGTTCCGAACGCCGGCCCAGTGTAGGCTCCAGCATGCATGGCGAGCAGGCATCCGAACCCATGCAAAGCTATGCCCCGGCCCCGAAGGGCCTCAGCAAGCTCGAGAGGATTACTCGCGAGTTCAAGCGCATGCGAGTCAAGCCCCGGCCCGAAGTGGAAGAGATAACGCAATTCAGCCAGCGGGCCGCTGCTGACTACGTCCCCACGACCGGTGAGAATGCTGGGAAGAAGTCGCTCAAGAAGGCCCGATCATTAGCAAGTCTCAAGTTTGGCAACGGCAGCTCTGCATCTCTGTCCAGCAGAAAGGGCAGCGATTCTATGCCATTCGACGCAAACGAGATGAAGAAGCACCGAATGATGTACGAAGCATCAGTCAGCAAGAGCACCACCCAGGCGTAGACAGCCGAGCGGTTGATTACGATGGCCGTTACGATTTCATGACGACTCACATCTTCACCACGAGTCAACATAGCATGTTCACATGCACCCACGAATCCCGGGTCGTTGTAAGCACGATTCGGACCGATGCCACGGCGCGATCCCTGGACGCAGGACGGAGACGTCGCATCATCGCAAAAGCATGCAGGTTGGTCGCTGGTTTCGACTCATTTTATTAGAGTCCCCATTGTTCTTTGTTACGAGGCTGAGAGGCCCTTGATTTTAGCGGGCGTTGTCAGAAGCAATACCTTCGCGGGTCAAAACTTCTATTTTCATGTTAGTACATCAGGGCTTATGTGATCTATGATGGATAAAGCATGGCGTTCAGGAACTGGGTGCATGGCAAAGGCGTAGTACACGATTGTTTTTGCTGGCATGTTTCTTT